ACATAATTTAACCAAATAAGTGTACAATTAAGAAATACAATAATATCTTTATATATACATATATATGATTTTTTTTCAAGAATGAATTAATACTGATTGCAGCCAAATTAATTAATAACATATATATATATATATATATATGTATTTTTAAAAATATTTATACATGGTTGTTTAATTTCTAGTATATTTATATCAAAAATTGCAGTGACTATTTGACCATGCAGTTATAAAATCAACTGCACAACATCACGAGTAATTTTAAAAAATGCTGTGAAAATTATCACAATTTTGAAGCCTCAAAATGAAGAAAGAAAAGAATGGACAAAAAGCAAGCAAGGTCCCTTCTTTCTTTATTCCTTATTCTTTCTTCTTTTTCTCACCATCTTTCTCTGGCAGTGTCTTTTACTAATCAGATCATGCTCATCCAATCTTCTCTTTTCCCAACGACATTACGAAGCTTCCTCGAAGCCCACGCACAACTGTCTTCACATAGGACAAAAAAGCAATCCAAAACACAAGAAATAAAGTATAATAATGATCATAATAATAATAATAATAAGGATTAGTGATTTAAACTATGGGTTGTTTGCAAATAGAGGATGACGAGTCATGGAGACAAGATGAAAGAAAGATTTGGTTTTCATGTTTTTTATTTTTTTTATTTTTATTGATTTTATTGATTTTTTTTTAATTAATAAATTTCTCCCTTGAGATTGGAGACATCTTATCTTGTAAATGACTTCTTGGATCACTACTTAGATACATGTTTTCCAAAAGATTCATAAAACAACATTTCCCTATTATTGTCATTTTTACTATTCATATGTTTTGTGGAAAAGTAAAAAAGTGCAACATCTCCACATTACATTGTTAGTGTAACTCCCATAATAAATAAAAAGTTGGATACAACATTTTTTACAAATATCAATCTATAATATGGATAATATCAGTTTAATATGTATAAATCATATCAGTATGATATGTAGAATATCAGTAAATATAAGAGAGAATCTAAAATGAGAAAAGCAGTTTTTAATGTTTTGATCAGTACCATATTCTTATTACCAAAAGAAAAGAAAAGAAAATCTAATGCTAAGAATGTGCATGCAAATAATAATAATAGTAAACGGTGCATGTACTTACTTTTTGTGTGTACATTGTTTGATATAAGTCTAATTTTATAAAATTTAAAGTCCAACTTAATTTGACTTTTAAAAAGAATTGATGGTATTATTTATGTGTAAATATATATATATATATATATATATATATAGAGAGAGAGAGAGAGAGAGAGAGAGAGAGAGAATTATTTGATAGAGTGTTTCTCATCTCATCTTTGACTGTAACTTGACTGGATTCTCAGTATTGAAAAGAGAAAATCAGTTATCAAATGGGAATTTGAATAGTATTAATATTGAATTTTTAATTTGTTTTTAATCAATCATTCACACCACCATGACATCAAAAATAATCTTTCAAAACTTCCAACACTACAACAAACATAGAATGTAAGCAAATATTGGTATGTGATTCAAAAACCAAGGAAAAACTTTATCATTTGTTTCGTTGTCAACAAAGAAAAAACTGAAACACGTCACAATACTTTTCATCACTATTTGCTTGAATTTTATACAAAACATCCTAGTTTAAAAAAATTTAAAGCATAACCTCATTTCCTCCATTCATGAATGTATAAAAGGTCCAGCTCATGTCTGTTAAGCAAAATTAACATGCGTTTCAAAACTGAATGAACACACAGAAAATGATTTAATTCACATTGTAAGAAACTTTGCTCAACAGTATATAAAATAAGCTCCTGTAGTTGCAATGTAAACCTACATCCTCATTTGCTTGCTAATACTAAAAATCAAACTCCGTTTTATCTCCATTGATTTCTACATTCATGAAACGGGGCTGCAGATTACAATGCCATTCTCACCATTGTAGATGTGCCCACAGATCTCATGCACAACCCAGAAGATGTTCAGATAGAAAAGTGTTGCCGAATTTGAGGTTTTCGGTTGTAATGAGCTCATTCATTCTGCACCGAATCGATGTATCTTGTATTGCTTGAATTAGTGAGCAGCACTGCACCCACAGAAGCTGGTCCAGTCCAGGGGTGCATCGACTAACTCAGCAACCTCATGTTTCTCCACAAGGGATCGTTTAGTGGTTTCGATGCCAGAATCGATGTCAGAATGCTGGAGATGAAGTTGGTTTCAGACATGGTTTTGTGCATTGTTTGTGACGATTGAGAGAGAGGCTAGATCGAAGTGTTTGGATGCCGCGGATCGAAGGAATTTGGTCTCCATTGGATCGTGAAGCGGTTGTTAGATCCTGCTATGGCTTTTATTGCCAGAGCGAAATAGTATAACTGGCTTTGATTATATAACGATCTGCTGGAAGAGAATGTCATTGAGCTGTATTCATATCCTGAGCGCACGAGAAACGGGTTCGAAGATTGTCCACGAAGTGCGTTATTCATGAGATAATTGTCATGACATAGAGAAAACCTATGCTATGAATCACGGCAGGCTTTAAAGGCACCCTGTGGAGAGACGGTGAAAGCATTTATTGCAGAAAGTCACAGAACACAACGATCACAGCGGAAGGGTATCACACCCCTAATGCGATGCAGGCAAAAGTTACTAAAAAGGTTGTACACTTTTAAAATTAGTGCAGAACTGTCATCCTTTCCTCCGAGAAATAACCAGGCACTAGAAGTCAATCGATCATATTCTACCGGATCTAAACTACGCGAAGTCGTCAAACCTGCAAGCATGGGGATACTAACTCTACTTGACATGCATCGCACGGGGAAAAATTAGAAGCAACGCAAGCGAAGTGTGTTGTTGACATTCCTTGCTGACTCTTTCAAGTTGATGATCATTTCTTAGTGGTTTGTGACGACGACGATGAAGATGATGATTGACCAGAACTCGTCCCTCCTTGCTCTCCCATCTTCCTTGCCGTTTTTTCCTGCAGGGCTTTAGCGTCGCGCTCGCGACGCTGATCAGGTGTCAATCCGTCGTCTCGCTGTTTAGTCTGCTTGGCTCTCGCTGCAGCTCTCTCCCGGTCCCTCTCCCGCTGGTTTCCTCTCGTCATCTTTATTCTTGCGCAATCAAATTGCTTTTCGAAGCTGCGGCTAGTAATAACCACACTCCACCAACGAAAAAACCACAAAAGCTTAAGGTAATCGAAAAAAACAAACACCTCCACTTGTTTCCCTTTCTTCTTGAAAGACTAGGATTCGTAACAAGCAGCAATTAAAGCCCCAGGCGGCTCTATGCAGGAAAAAACTAGTTGACTACACCAGACTACTTCTATACAGAAGCAATTTGATTTTGGCAAAGATTGCGACTTTTCCTACCTTACAGGCAGACTCTCACCAGCGACCTACCAAGGGAAACAAAGTTATCCAAAATCTCTGGAATGATGCAGTGAACAAGGCGTGGACAGGAAGCAGTGAACGATGCAGAAACAGACAAGTGATTACAATGACGACTACGACACCAATCCTCATTCCAACCCCCCCGTCTCGTCGACACACATGCCGTCCCGAGGGACGATTCAAACCAGCAACTGGCTAAGTTTGGTTTCGAGCTGGAGTGATGGGATGGTTTTTAAAGCACGCAGGTGAATTCGGTTCAGTTAGGGGAGGGGGTGATTGATGAGATCCCGGTTTAAGATATGAGTTGAGACTCCCAAAAAGATTAGGATAGACCTCTTCAAAACCACACTTCCTAACACACCATAACGAACTTCGCTTTCCACGTTGACTTCAACCATGCGCAGCTTACGTCGTCGTTTTGAAAAGGGTAAGTAGCCATGCGTGTCCAGGATTACCCACTGATTCAAATACCCTTAGCCTGGTCACTCTATTTCCAAAGCAGGCAGTGTAAGTAACTCTTTTCCTTGACTACAAATCCACCAACCAGTCTTTCACAACTCGAAACTTCCACCCCTCCCCCATTGCGACGAGTGTTTATCCAGCCTTTGCTCGCCACCACTACAGATAATGTGAATCTGCAGTGAAGTGACCCACAGTGAGACTTCACATCACCTGCTGTCTCCGTGAGCACACACTCTCATGGAAACATTCGTTTCAGAATAGAATAGGCTGCTCGCATATCACAGACCTGTTATGCCCCATGACAAACTTTCACCATGTGGAGGATCGGAATTCGACGATGGAGTTGAGCACATTTTCTGCTGGATTCTAGAAGGAATTTGACCGAGTCCAGTAAGCCAGTTGCTGTTGGGTTTTTCCTTTTGCCTAGATATCGGAGTTCCTTTTTTCTTATGGTGCATAATAAACGCTACTGTCATAACCTGCCGACCAAACAGGCGATTGTCAAAGCAGTCCAAAAGGTCGGTGATGGGTTTGCTTGCTTAATGACATTGTTCACTGATCCCCGTACCAAAGCCACTGTGCGCGTGAAAGTGAAGACAACTTACACAACTCTTGAAGCTAGAAAGGGCCTGCTTGCCTGCAGCTCTTATCTGAGCGAAGCCGACCGTGTTGCAGCAAAGTGGGGCCCAAAAGAAGCAGCAACAGCTGCAAGCCACTCACTATAGGGCTCCGGCGTAGCTACCAGTGGGACCGCGCCTCCGGGAAAAATCGACCCCATGACCGATCCTACGAGGACGAACGCAATTCCTAAGCACCCACCCATCCGGCCGCCAAACCAGCCATGTTGCCCCAATTTGACGTGGCCACGCCCTTTCCCGCGGAAACCCTCCGGGCTTTGGCGGCATTTTGTAGTGACTTACTGAAGCGACTCGCCCCCGCGCTTTTGAAGGAGTGGATGACGTGTTCTAGATATTGTGGGCCCTTGCTCCTTGACAGGTCAGCATTGGTCCTTGCACTCTTCGGTGTTGGGTGCTCTACTTTCCCACGGGCTTGGGTTCCCGCTGCTGCTTGTTTGCTGAGCTTCGCTTTGCCGTCTCTCACCTCGTCTGCGAAGTTGCTTGTTGCTGTTTCCGGGCCCAGGTAATCGTTTCAAGCTCGCGCTCTCGATCGATCTTCTCATGCTTTTAGTTTTTTGTCAGTTAGATCGGTGGACGTTTTTTTTTTTGTTTTTTTTTTAATATATATATATATACATATATATATATATATTTTTTGAGGAGGTTTGAGGATTGGTTAGTAAGGTGGAACGATTTTTGGCTCGGGTTTTGTTTGTGCTTTTGATGTTGTGGATGGAGTCGTGAGATTTTTTCAGTGTCGAGTGTAGGGATGGGGTGGGGATGCTGCTGGAGCGTTAGGGAGTGGGGAGTTAGGGAAATGGACCACACATGAGGTGGAATTTAACGTGGTGTAGTGTTTTAGGTCGGCGCGCTTTTTGGCAGAGGAGTGAGATGGCAATCGCGGTTGGAACCAGTGAGTGCGTCGAGACAACGTGCGTGCATGGTTAAGCTGTGTTTGAGCTTATCCTGGTACGTCACGAATACGTTCATACATTATCTGAACGAATTTTTGCGGCGGGTGTTGGCTGTGTAATTCTTCAGCTCGTGAATGTTCTGTGCTGTAGTCTTGAATTGTTTGGATGTGAGCTTTTGGAGTGTGATTCGAGTACAGGGTGCGTAAATCTGAATTTTAAAATTGAATGGTGAATGTATTGTGCTGTGTCGCTGTTTTACGATGATACAGAGTCTGTTCCAGCAGCAACCATACCAGAAAAGAGCCTATACACCAACTAATAGAGCAGCAATGTATTCCGTGTAGATTACCCTTTACCTTACTGTAGTTCAATCGGAGTATAATTCTTGATTGTTAATTTTAAGCGGTGATCCTCAAGCTTTGGCTTATCACATTCAATTTGGTTCTAACGAGAATTGTTGTCATTTTGATCTCGTAACTACCTCCATATTTGGGGTTTAGGTGAAATCCTGTTTCTGAATGCGCGTAGTTCGATGATCGATGAGTAAAACATGTTTTCTGAAACGTGGCTGTGTTGATTAAGTTTTGGGTCTTAGTTGGATCTTTAGATACTACTACGGTTTAACTGTAAACAGTCTCAACTGAAAGTGAAGATAGGGTTTCCACGAATGAGTAATGTGGGAGGTGGTGAATTCTCGTTCATGAATTCGATGATTCATAAATCTTCACTAATTCGATTTATGTTGTATAAATCTTCACTAATTCGATTCAGTGAAGCATTGCCTACTTTTAGAACTGTGTCTGGGTGTTTCACCATAGAATTCGCAGGTTGTTTGAATGCGACTAGCCTTTGATGTTAGGGATATATCTACAACTGGAGAAAATGGATCTTACAAAGACCCTACTCATTATGACTAAGATTTGGTAGCCATTATAGCTGGTGGTAGCGGTGTCCTGGTAGCCCGGTATGCAGCTCAATTTGGAGGTAAAGTCAGTCAATGAGATGTCATTTGCACTTCTCTCTTCAGATGAAGCTGGTGGTGTTGGGGAGCATAAGTTGTACATTGTACATCTTACCCTACTCTTGCAGGTTTTTTTAGTCAACAGATGTTTGGATTCTCTACTTCACTTCTATTCGGGTGCTCCCACAAATTCTTATCATGAAATGTACGCCGTCAACTGCCATAAGCTAGTGCAAGTTGGCTTGGTTCCGAGATCAAGTGTGAGTGGTGTTTCGGCACCATCAAAAACACCTACTTGAATCACACTCCAAAAGTGTGAGTGGTGTTTCGGCACCATCAAATACACCGACATCTGCACCAGCAACAACAACGAGGCGCTAAAACCCATGTTCTAATCGTGATCCTTAGCGTCCGAAACCCTCCAATGTTTCCACAGAGTGACAAGCCGCATCTCCAAGTTGTGGCTCTCTTTCATTAACCGTCATAAACTGTCTTGCTTCATCAGTACTCTAGAGTTGAATGTAAAAATACCAGTGCGCAGTTTCGCCGTGTCGGCATGCCAATGTGGACAATAACCCTTTTTAGAGTGAATATGAGGTGAGTTTGCTGTAGTATAACTTGTTTGTACAACGGCACTCAAATCGCAGCTCATCCTCCATGCGCACCGAGTTCTGTTGTGAAATAGGATCCAGTTTAAGGAGACCATTTCTCATGTATGCTGAGCACACAGCACTCTGATCCCCCTGTTGCTCGACCTTCACGGACTTGAAGGAAGAGATTTCTTCGAGGATGGAGATTGATTGAGTCAAGGGGAAAAGAGTGTTGTCACGGGTTGGTGACTTGAATTAATGGGCCCACAATCTGTCCTTACGAGCTCTGCTTGGAGGGGCCTTGGTGCAGAAAGCACGGATGGGGATGCTGTAAGAGGGGCGTACGATTGTGCGGGACGGTCGGCAACTGCGGTCATGGCAGGACAACACAAATGAACTCTCTTCGGCATCATGAAGAGAACAAACTTGCTTATTCTCGAAAAGGAAAATGGTGGGCAGCTTTCGAACAAGCCCTAATTAATATCCACCCTTCCCCTAATCAATGGGTTCCTCCTGCGTTACATTTCGTAACTTTCTCTTTAACAATTCAGCGCAGGATCCTTATCCGAAAATAAACTCGGTCGGAAGTAAAAAAAAAAAAAAAAAAAAAAAAAGAAAGAAAAAAAAAGAGTGAAAATCTCCCCGTTCATTGATACCCATGATTCAATTATCGAGATTGTGGTAACCATAGACGAGGTGGAGCCATTTGGAAGTCATGCTGATTCGATGTATCGACTGTTGCATCGAACAAGCGGAACAAACAGTGTTTCACTTAAGTAGATTTCAATTGCTGTGTTACGAAGCACTGCAGCAGCAGTAATGGTGGCAGGGACGCGGGGACCAGCGACCAATGAGGATTTGAAACATCAATATGGGTTTAGTGCCGTGAAAGGAAGGAGGGGAGCGCCTGCACATGCACGTGAGCGTGAGTATATTCAACGTCAACTTTAATTGCCACGGTATGTTTATGGGTGGGGGAGTACATGTAAGGCCCTCCCATTAAATTACAAAATTTGAGGCCTCGTCCCAGAAGAACAAGGTGAAATTAGAATCGAATGAGATGCTGCAGCATGATGCAAACGAGTGGGACAAACGCCGCGAGATGTCGATGACGCGCGGTTGAGCTGCAGCTGGGAAAGCGGGATTCGGGCGAATGCATTTCGTAAAAACAATACTACATAGAATGCCGGCCAGACCTAGTGAATGAGTTCAGAAGTAAACGGGCATCAACTTTAGTAAATGATTGACAGAATGTTGGTGCTTTTCGGGTAGGATTAGCATTTGTTCTGTTTCTCCTTGCTCGCAGAGCCGCTCAAATTGCCAGCAAGAATAAATGCATTTTCTTGTGCCTGTCAGACTTATTAGAAAAGTTCAAATCTCTTTGGGTCTACCAGCTCTTTTATGTATTATTATTTTTTGGTAAAATCAGTCACACAACCCCCCCCCCCCCCCCATTCGCAACTTTAAACGAGTTTTAGCTCCAAACATCATGCATATTTCAGTCCTGCTTGTTCTCCACTCACTCAGTTTACTCCCCAGTTCCTCCTAAACAAGTTTGAGGTTATCTTGGTAAGTGCGTTTTTGCAACGCTTACTAAACAATGGTCGCACCCATCACATTTGTTCCCAGCTTTCTCAGCTGCATTGCATCGCAGAGTGTCCACACGTGTGATCGGAGCTGAGTAGTTGGGGCTCGCAGTGTGGTTGAAAGTAGAATGCCTCGGCACTTTTCCCAACCGATTCTCTTCCCTGATTACCTGGTACTGAATCCGTTAAATGATTCTGAACCTTATAACCTCTCCGCTGCACACCTCTGCCCGATTGTTTTGAAGGGAAACGCAGGCTTAAGCCTTTGCTGAAGTGAACAAGCTTGTGCGCATTGCCTTCAATAGTTCCTACGCCGTTTTGTTCTTTCGGAGTAGAGTTCCATGTTTACTGTGCTCTCAAGAGTGTAGTTTTCTTTTTTTTTTGTCTTACACATTTGTGGCCGAAATGTGTGCTCATCGTCCAGCTCATTATCTTCGGCATCAGTGGCGTGACTTGTGTAGTTGAATGCATTTTTAGAAATTCCTGGTTTTACGTTCTCGATTGGTTGTGATTGTGACTTCATTGTCTGTAGTTTCTGTGGCTCTCTTCTCTGAGCTTGCGTTGTTTTGGTTATATTCAGGCAGTTTTTTCTTGCTCAAGTGTTGCTTATCACTCACATTCCCTCTGCTTGAGGAACCCCCTGCAGAAACTGTTCTTAGTACCTCGAGGACTGTTCTTGCCGATGCTCTGACAGTGTTCAGCTGTTTGTTCACATTTTCAGATTCAAGAACTGAGTTGCACAGAGATGTAGACAGAAAAATATCCAAGTTAAGCAGAGAGTTCGGTTATTTCAGTTTCCTCCGCAGCGACCCTCTAAACAATATTCAATGTTAGGGCTCTCTTAATCCTCTACAAGAAAACTCAAGATTTCAAAATCGTTGTTTTCGTGGGAAGCATTCTGAAGGGTAGATGCGATGGCGAGAAATGGAAAACTTGCGGCGACTCTTCATGTAGTAGTTTTATGCATGTGCTTAAGAGGAGTAATAGCACTAGACCCTCAAAACATAACCTACAGAATAGGTTTTCTGTCGCCTTCTCCAGATTCCATCATTCCCACCAACCTGGCCATTGAATGGTGAGTTCTGCCTCTTGTGCTCAAGTCCATGAATTACAAATAGTAGCCTAAGAGATTCTTACTAATGTTTGTTTTCAGAGGTCGTTGTAGCGATGATTCTTATGGAAGGCTTTTCGACAATCCCCCACCTACACCCCTCTCATACCGTACAGTATTAAAATTTTGCTCTACTCGGCGGTCTTGACAGGAATTCAGCATTTCAAGTGGCCATGGAAGTTCTTAACGCGGAGAATAGACCTTATACAATGGTCTCGACTCTGAAAAGCTCTGAATGTGACTGGCAACTGGGTCAGCAGGCTGCCGAGTCACTTCTCCGGCCGACAACAGTTCCACCTTTGATTGGTGCAGTTGGCCCTGCTTGTACTGATGCAGCTATGTCCGCTGGTAGAGCTTTTGTGGAACACAATTATCCGCTTGTCTCATTTGCTGCCACTTCAGAAAGCCTCTCAAATCGAGATAACTTTCCAACATTTTTCCGCACCGTGTGAGATTTCCACCAAGCTTTCATTTTCCTGTGCACTGACAAGTGAACGCCGCACCTGAAGCATAACATTGTTATCACTATGGGATAAGCTTGGATCAAGCGTAATTCGGTTGATGCATTGCTTGGTGTACTGATGCGCAACTGGTTTTGTCTTGATGCAGTTTTAGTGATAGGCATCAAGCAGCAGCCATCGCAGCCAGCGTAAGTGTTTCATACCTCAAGTTTCGATGGTTTGGACTTCTCGTATGGAGAGAATTAAACTAGCCTATTATCTTATAGCATGTGATCGTAACATGAGATTGGTCTCAGGTGTCACAATTGAAAATCAAACGTCTCACGGTGTTGACAACTCAGCATTATTACAGCATGAATTTGGGTTCAGAGATCGTTGATGTAAGTACTACTCCATTTGTCATACTGTATGTGTGCATTAGTCTGTTTTACATCGCGTCCTCATGCTGGAAGCAGAAGCACCAGGAGTTAGTCATGTTCCCATTTTATCGGAGTTAAGTGCATCCGTGTTATTATCTTTGTATGCCTTCGGTCTCTGTGCTTAGTGACCATTCTGGCCCCAGGGCAGTATTAGTGTGATTCAGAATGTTGTTGACTTTGTGCAGGCGGTAGGTAACTTAGCAACCATAAATACTTTCCTTCTTCACAGAGGAGCTAATTCGACTCTTGATATTACTGAGCTTGCTGGTGTTCTTGATAAAGTTGGAAAGGACGAGTTTGTAGTCATGGCTGTGCAACCCATTCAAGCCTATGAGATTTGGAAAGCTGCGTATAAATTGGTACGGAAGAGGTCTATCATCTAATTATAGATTCGAGATTGGTTTACTACAGTGTTCATGTTGTGGAACTTATCTTTGCCTTGAGATCGATCAGAGGTATGAAAACCTGCTTTCCCCTCCTGGAACAGGATAGGATAAGATGGCCATTTTGGTACTTTGGGACAGATGGAGTTACTGCATTTGATCCACAAGACAATTCTACAGGTGTTGCTCTTTCTTCCTGAAATACTCCTGTAGTCGAAAGGCTGAATTTACCAAGCTGTAATACTCATGTGGAACTTAAAGATTCGTTTCTGGCGTTGAATTTGGAAATTTTGATTGCCTATTGCAGATCCCAACTTAGTGAGCGCTTTGCAGGGAGAAATTGGAATATCTCCTCATGGTAAGTGTCATCTAAAATTCGTCTGTCATTGAGTTCCTTTTTAACCATTTTAACCATTGACTGGTTTGAAAAAATATTTTATCGAATGCCACGACGATCATAAATCTCGGATCCATTGAATTATGGTTTCTTAACTGATCGACATTTGAAGCGATTTGTTTTCAAACAAAAGTAGCTAGTGAGGACGTTTTTTAGATGCAGTGTGTAGATCTTTTCGAATGTTGGGAGAAATTCTCTGAAAGGAGATCTCCTTTTCGAATGTGACTAAGAGTGTTACTGTTTGATGGCAAAGACGTGAAATTTTCCATTTTAGAAAACAAATTCCAATGCTCAAACGTGACTTTTTAATGTTAACTACTGTTTCAGGTGGTGACCTCAACAACCCTGCTTGTGAGAAGTTTTATTCTTACTGGAAATCCAAAAAATATCCTGGTTTTCCCTCTGAAGGAAAGAATAGAACCCGTTCTTATGTGCCTCAGTTAATTGACGCTGTGCAAACTTACTTCCACATTGTCGATAATCTCATCAAGGCAAATTTATCTGTGACTAAAGAGAACGTTTTTCAAGCGCTCAACAGTTCCGGTCTTGGCACTCTAAAGTTTGAGGGGTGCAGTGGTATAGTCTCATTTGACCCTGCCTCTGGAAGTCGGAGCGTAGTGGCACAGGTTCCTCAATATGATCTCATGTCGCTTACACCTGCGTACTGGGAGGTGGGCCTATCAAAGCCACTTACATGTTCTTGTATTTATTTAGCTCAGTGATTTGCACCCAACTCTTGAAACAGGCTGGTTGGAATGATCTCATGTAAGTAAAGTCATAAATCATGTGCAGGTTAAGGGCGAGATAATGAATGGCAGTTTGGTCGGGTTGCAACTGCTGAAACCACCTGGTAGCGAATATGGACCCAATTCGGTATGCTTCTCTTTCTATAATATCTATGTGCACTGTAACTAACTTGGTTCTGATTATCTTGTTCAAATAATGTCACGAAAGGCGATTCCATCAAGCTCTCACCAAGCTCCGTCGATAGTTCACTTGGTAGCCAATCTTATTAGTTTACCCGCTTTGTAAGCATCTTCTCATGCGAATGCTTTTGCAGACATATATGGGTCCCAACCCGAATGGCTTGTCGAGCAAAACGAAGATTTGGATCATTGCTGGCACCTTCGCTGGTGCATGTGTTCTTTCAGCCTTGGTCGGAGGCGCTGTGCACTTTCATCGACGCCAAAAGCACCCCGCTGTAAGGACCGAGTCAATGCGCAGATTTATTGACTTCGGTAGCTTCCGAGGGGGCGAGAGCTTCCGAGCCCCTTCATAGGAAAGCGCAGTTTCATGGAGGCTGAACGTACGTTTATCCAAATTCTTAGGGCCAACCTTGGATGATAACTATGAAGCTTGACTCGGAGGGCTCTACAACAGTATATTTTTCATATCAATTACTGTGCAGTGTTGGGATCCACTTAATCGTGGTTTTATTTGGACTTGAATAATCCCTTCGATGGCATCATAAGCTGCCCCTTTTAACATTGTGCACAGGGAATGACTTACTGGCTCTGCTGATTGCTCTTCAGATGAACGCTGATTTTCACTAAGTGTTCGTGCTCCAGGAGTTCTAATTACTGGGAGCTCATGTTTATACGAACGATGTTGAGAGAAATCAATAGACAAGCATTGAGGATGTCACTTCACGGTATCTCACACGGCTCAATCTAGATTCGAGCTCATGAAAATTGCTTGTCTTAGAAACGTGAATAATCACACTCTAGAGCAAAGCATGAACGGCTGCTGTTCTAGAACCGTTCTAGCGTGTCCTGTTTTGGGTAGAAGGTCTTGTCATATGGTGAGAGTTAACCTATCATGGATACGATATTTTACCGACCAGATAAAATCGTCGAAGTTTGTGTACACTCCAGAAGGCTCTCGCACCTGGAGGTGCCATTAGATGAGACACCAGGGATATGAAGGGTCCTGCAGCGTGCTCTTCAGCTGAAAATACGCCAGTAGATGTGAGTGACAGTATACCTGTGAGCTACCCAAACCTGGGAACGTCCCGTGTTAGTGCTCCTGATGTATCAACTTCCTATCTGTGCTGCTTGTAGCAATGTGAGCTTATGCCAAAAACATTCCATAGATCGGCATATCTGATGTGTCAACTAAATGAAGAGTTACTTTCGGAGGATGGACTAGTATAGAGAAATCGCAAAGGGGCGAGCAAAAGAGAAGACACATACTGCACCTGGTACTGATAACAGCTCCAAACTCAAGACGAAGCTGCAGAGAGAGGGGTAAAGGATGGTGCATTCTTAGAATCAGTTGGGGTTTCCCACGTTGGCCATGGAATGAGATGGATGCTCTCTGATAGTTGGATGCTGCGTTGTTGTGGTCCTGTGCTGCTGCTGCTGCTGCTCTTGTTGGATTGGGCTGTTGCAATAAAATCTTTCTTCCAGGCAATGGCAAGATCTTGAGGTACAACAAGGAGCTTTAATTCTCCATCACCATTACTTAGTTTGTTACTTTGCTTTGGTTGCTGCTGCTGATCTTTCTTCATTGTTGGGGTGAAATACCAGTTTGCATCGGAGGGAGTTCATATAGCTCAAGTGTGTGCGTGTGTGTTTGTGTTTCTGTGCTGGATCTAGTACATTCGATACAGTTGCATAATGCATAGAAGTTTACCTTTCCATGGGTTTCGACGAAAGCATGAGACCCAGTTAATGTGAAGAGACATACATGATTTGTAAGCATAATCCTTTGTTTAAGTTGGAGGATGTTCCAACAGGCTTATGAAGTGGTGATCAACTAAATACATCAAAGAATAATTTGAGGGTTTGATGAGGACTTTTTTGATGAGCACTTTTTTGCACAATTTTCATGTGTTTGGTTGCACGAAGATGCCCTCGATGTGCATTTAATAGAAATACGTTTATTTTTATTTATGAGAAAATTATATATATATATTATTGAGTTTACAAATTAAACTTTGAAATATTCCAAATTCTATCATTTTATTTTTAAAATATACTAAAATTAAAAAATCTTGTTTTTGATCAATTTGAATTAAGATAAAAGTGCATAGACTATATCAAATCATTTTTCAAAATGTGTTTATATTAACACAAAAATCTTTTCTATTGGATATAAAAAAAATCTCTCAAAGTAAAATAAATTACCAACCTATATATATATGAATTTATTCAACAATAAACTTACTATTTGACTTGTGTTTTTTTCTTTTGTCTTTTTTTCTTTGTTTAATAATTATATTTTTATTATAAAAATTATTATGTATTTGTAAAATAATATAATCGAGTAGAAGAGGTTCATTTTTTTACTTTAATTTTAAAAAATAAAATCCCATCAAATTTCATTAAAATAAATAAATAAATAAATAATATTTTAAATTATTTGTTTTAAGCAAAGTAAATAAAATAATTTTTTTACTAAAGTTGCAACAAAATCACTATAAAGTCACACTTAAAAGATACAACTTAGAACGCAAGATTAGATGATATACCTTTACAGTCTTTTAATTGGTTGAAATTGAGAAGCCTTGTTGATTTGGTATTATATCTAAAAAAAATTAATCCAAAAGTTGTTGGAGGAAAAAGATGAGTTGGAATTATTTTTATTTTTATTTTTATTTTATTTTCCTACATGGCATAAACAATGTTGTCCTCTAGAATTTCTATTAGATCTCTTTTAAAAAATGGATTTTTTATAAAACTTGTAAAACTATATTTTCAAAAATCTGAAAATAACATAAAACTAAGAAGTCCATTTTTTTAATGTTTTTCATGATTGCTCAAAATAAGATATTAACAATGACACTTAAACCAATGATAAAAAATAATAAATAAATAAATAAATAAAATTGGTCCATTCCAAAGCTTCCAAAAAAAAAGTTTTTCTTTACCAAATGAGAGACTTTTGTAAGATTTTTCTACCAAGGACCTTTCAAAATGAGCTTGGTATATGAATATATATATATATATATATATATATTTATATATATCCGTTTTTGAGTCAATCAAGATCACCAATCGCACACAAACACATCATCATGGTTTCACCTAATTTTCAATTCATTCATTCTCAACTCAAGCACAAAACCATCCTCACAAAACCCACCCACCACAACCAAATCACGGTCACTAGAAAAACCACATGGATACACCAAGTTTATTTGTTTTCTTTTGTAAACTAGAGATCATTAAAAAGAGATAAAAACAACAAGAAGAAGAAAATATTTAAAATAAAATAAAAAAGTAGAAAAACAAGTACAGGTTCCAAAACCAACAATTCCATCCAGGCAGGTGGGAAGCAGGAATGAGAGTCTCACATGAAACATCCTCCTCCACACACACTTCCTTTCCTTTCCTCTTGTGTTTTTTTCCTGTTTTTTTCTTTCTTTCTCATGCTTTTATGCTTCACAAAACCTACAAAACTCCTCACACAAACTAGATGAATCGACTTATTCACACCTCTCGTATTAATATACCCTGTCACCCCGCAAATATCTACAGCAAAAAGAAAAAGAAAAACAAAACAAAACAAAACAAAAAAACAAAGAAGAAAAGATAAGAGTAAACAGTGTGGGTTGTATAGGTTTTTGATCTCCGGGGAGTGCACAAACAGAAACATTGACTGACACAAAAGTGTGAGAAGATCGGCACATCTGCACATCGAAGTGAATGAGAGAGAGAGTGTAGTGTAGTGTAGTGTAGTGTGTCCATGGAAGTTTGCGTTGGATTATAAGCTTGTGACTTGTTTGTACTGGTACCATCTAGCTAAGGCGAAGAAGAAGCAGAGATTGGCAGCCATGAGGCCTGCGAGAAGCCAGTAGAAGTAGTCCAGGCGGCAGCGGTTCAGGTTATCGACGATCCAGCTCTGCCCGCACAAGCTCGTGACCTTGACAACGCTGGAGAGGAGCATGCTCGAGAGGAAGTTACCGATGCCGATGGTGCTCAGGAATATGGCGGTGCCGAGGCTGCGCATGGAGTCCGGCGCTTGGTCGTAGAAGAACTCCAGCGCGCCGATGGAGGTGAACACCTCCGCGGCGCCCAGCAGAATGTATTGCGGCAGCAAGATGAAGACGGTCAGTGGGAGGGTCTGGAAGGGTTCGTCCAGCAGGCCGTTCTCCCTCGCTACCTGCACCACCAGGTGCAACCGGGTTTGTCACGTTACCTAGCACACCTTGGAAAACTGTGACAAGAGTCAGATGAAAGAGTGAATGGTTACGACTGGGCGTGGTGGTGGTGGTTTTGTTTACCTTGACTCGGTAGATCTCGGTGGTGGCCGCGCACACCATGGACAGAAGCGAGATGATGATACCGATGCCGATTCGTTGGAGCATAGAAATCCCTCTCACGTTGCCCGTGAAGTGCCGTGCAATGGGGACGAAAATGCGGTCGTAAATGGGGATGAGACACACGATTGTGAGAGGAATGATGCTCTGGAGCGACGCAGCTGGGATTTTGAAATTCGACCCCAGGTCGACGTTCAGGGTGTTCCCTTGCCGAGTGTAGAAAGTGGAGATTTGGGCAGAGGGTGTCTGAAAGATTAGTGCCGCGACCCAGATCGGGAGTAGACGGAGCACGAGTTTCACCTCCTCTACCTCCGTCACGGTTGCGAGCTTCCATGGACTGTGATCGTCGATGCCGATTGTTGACCCCTCGGATATGTTCGGAAGCACCGCTGCTTTGTCGAGGAACCTCATGGTGTTGGAATGTGGGATGAGCCGCGTTCCAGCCTGAAGCCTCTCCTTGTCGACGACTTCATTTAACAAAGCCGGATCTGCAGGAACTCGGAGGCGGAAGTTCCTGACTGCTGCCACGATCACTTGACCAATTTGTGTGAAGGGACTTCCTGTGGGCCTGTTATGGCGGTAGAATTTCAAACCGACGATGTAAAGCACGAGGTAAATCCCCATGAGCACGGTGGGAGTGCCGAACCCCCACCCCCAACTAATGTAAGATTGCACGTAGACTAGTACCGTCGCCGAGACAAGCGCGCCAAGGCTTATGCCAAAAACCCACCAGTTAAAAAACGATTTCTTCATCTCGTTCTCACGAATATCCTCCTCATCGAATTGATCCGCGCCGAACGCGGCAATGCAGGGCTTCATACAGCCTCCGCCGAGGGACATGAGGTACAGAGCGAAGTAGAAGAATCCTACTTGGCCCGCAGTTGCAGGAGGGCATTGTTGAATCCCAGCAAAACTTGTGTGGGTGCAACTTGGAGGCTTAAACGTGTCTACTGTCACCGAAAGCGTCAACGTCACCAGCCCCTGGACACAAACATAACGAAATAAACAAATAAATACTGGAGATCACAACACAGTTTTCGGCCACTTAACTACCCATCAATATTGATATTTGGTAGTAGTATACAAGCTGGCGAGCTTTCCTTCGACGTTTACACTTACCACGAAGTAGACAACACCAAAAATGAGGATGGTCCAAAACCTTCCCCAGAATGCATCAGCGAGGAACGCCCCCAGAAGAGGCGCAAGGAATGTCGTCCCCATCCAGTTATTCACATTTGTAGCCGACTTCTCTGTCCCCTCGTGTAATACGTGAGTTAGGTATGTCACCAGATTGGCAGAAATCCCATAAAATGCCAGCCTCTCCCCAATTTCGATTCCTGGCATCCATTTACCCCACACCAAGTCAGTTCCAACTCATGCTACGGGCTCGGTGTTTAAGAAGCACCAAGGTATTCATGTGAGCCTTTCTGGAACCAGTCATGTCCGATTTCTGCAGTCATTACTTCTGCAGAGTTCACGAAGCAATCATAAACAAAGTTTGTGCAGTTGAATCTCATCATTCTTGTGCACAGAAATTTGCCGAATTGGTGTGTTTTCAGGGATTCAAATACCAATTATGAAGGCATTAGCCTTAAAGCGTCCGGTGGTCCTCTTGTCAGCCGGCGTCCCCCGATAGTCCATCGAGCCGTCTCTGGTGATGCTCATCGTCCGCTCCAGAGGGGGATGTCTCTTGCTGGTAGTTCGGTAATTTGTGCTACATATTGGGACCACCTTGTTGCTCTCGGATTCCATTTTTCGCGCATCTCGTGGAGTCTTCAACAACCAAAACATTCCAACCTATCATTAATCCATGTGCTGGCATTTCTATCATTTATTCACGGAGAGATATCACTGAGATTGATCACAGCTTTTGTCAAATCTCAGATTAGATGGGAGAGCAGAAGCAGTACTCATTTACACTGACGTAACAATAACCATACTTACAGCTAACTTCAGAATTGATCGCATCTTATTCCACCTAATTCCATTCCTAATCTCAACTGTTGCTCATCACCAAACGGGTTGACAGTTGACACCTCAGAGGTAGACGACACACGTGAATTTTACTGTTCAGGACGAGCAAGGCCACCGCTCCAACTTGGCACTCATGGAGTCATCATTGTCTTTACGTGATGAATCATCCCTAGCTTTTAAACAAATTCTAGAATCGACATGTTATTTAATTCCTTTCGGCTAATTCTTCGTTCTTTTTCCAGGCGAGTCCTAAGCATGTCAATGTCCATGCTACAGTATACTACCGTCACTGGCAGGGTGGATCAGTTCATCACAATGAACAATCAGCTTGGCCCCACGGTACACTCTGTTGTCCACAGCCAAGGTCATGCACGTCCATTGCTAGTTTAATTGGTGCATTGGAGGTGTTTGCTTCACGAACGCTTTAAACTCGACAGATTTAACATGTAATGACAGATTTAACATGTAATGATAAACAATCCGGCGTCAATCACAGACTCAAAACCCAACCGACTTCTGTCGCCAGTGACTTGCGACCGCCCAACAAACGTAGAAGTTTGTGTTGGACTCGTAGATGAATTCCACATTCCACTTTCACAACTGATTCATTCAAATCAATGTCAATTAACGAATACATAAGAACAACAGAATGCAAGGAGACGATGAAGACACACAACGCACAGTGAGCCTTCCTGCAGAGCTATCATGTGGCACGAGTTCGAGAGAAGAAGCTTAAGTGCAGGAACCCGAAGTTGTTCATTTCGACGATGTTCACATTCTTTGGAGTGTTTTCCTCCAAGCCGTTTCGATGTAAGATTTCCACGAAACGATTGAAACTCCAGACATAACCATGGAGAACACTTCAGATACTCCATGGGAAAATGCTGGTACACGTTAACCACCACAGAGACATGGCGAGTCTCAACAGCATTTCAGGAACTCGACCATTCAACACATTCTGTATACTTGATCGTTTCAACATGTTTGTGAAACACTTAGCTACAGAAAAATAAATCCCCTTCAGATCTACAAGCGCAGCACTGAGCCCTCAAAGACTTCAACATCAAAACATACAGTACGCAAACAAAGATCTCAGAACGTGGCTTCCATCCACAGAGCTCTGCATGCGAGGACGAGACCCTTGGAACGAAGAGCAGGGACTGATCATGGAAAGCCACAGGCAGACAGAGACATATACACAAATGCACACCCACCCCACTCACCATTGAGCACCAGTGCGGCGGATTCACGAGAACAGTGAACTAGGCCCCTGACGACGGTTTCGGTGTGGCTATCTCGGAGCGGAGCGGAAGCAAGAGCGAGAGAGATGACTGTGCCTGCGCTAAGCGCTTTATATACCCAAAACCACATGCTTCACGAAACAGCCCACGAACATATCTGGCGAGACGATTACCAGATCTATTGCTCTTCCAAACTCCAGCGCTCAATCGGCGTCGCCATCGGGTAAACCTGTGACGGTACACGGTGATTCGTGAGAGACAAAATTAGATATTTGGTGAAGCTACGGATGTATTAGTGGGGATGGGTCCTTGTCGAATGATTCGGAAATGTGATTCAGAGTCGCGAATTACTTCCCCCTCCCCGCAGGACGAGTCGCCCTGGCAGCATGCAGGCTACTCAGCCCAGCCGGGTGGTGGTGGTGCTGCTGCTGCTGCTATAGGAGGGGAATGGGGGAGGCAAAAAATTTTAACTTTAATTTTAATTTTTTTTAAAAAAGGAAACACCCTTTGGCTCCGCGGGGGTATTATCGGATTCCGTAACCTATACTACGGATGAGGCGGACATGAAAGTGCAGGAAGTGTGCGTTGCTCTCTGTACCCCCCCCCCCCTCGTTTTTAATTGCACCGCTGCGGTACTGTTTTTCCATGGGTTTTTATCATCCGAAACCTCCCTCCACCCCGCTTTGGTACTTTTCTCCCCCCCTCCATCGATGATGTGGGCATGTTCGGGGCCTGTATGCTCCTGAAGTAGAAAGCCATTAGCTTTCCTATGATGGACTACAACCGACGAGAAGCCCTTGTCAGTCAGTCAGTCCCCTCTCCTCCCCTCCCTCACTCACTCAATCACTTCACAGTCTGTCTGAACGAGTCTGTGTGTATGTGTGTGTGTATATATGAGAGCATCACCTTGTGCTTCATGTCATAACCATTACTACTACTACTACGACGACGACTATCCCTGCAACAATTGTTATAACTTCCCCCTCCGCCGCGGGTCATCTACGGGGCCGTCGCTACTAGCTTCTAGCGTTGCGATGTGATCGCGATCTCGCCGCCGACGCCGAATCCATTGCATATGGGCCAGGGCTCATATGTAATCTGGGATGATCAGTCTTAAACTCTGTGATTTCTAGTGTTGTTTATTCTTTTGGCAATATGTTGTTTAGTGAGGTGTTTTTTTCTTCAAAGTTAGCTCAAAGTATTCTGTAATGCCGTTTTGGTATTATATGGGCTGTTTTAGCTTCAGTGGTGTGTATGTGTTTTGGTTATTTTGAAGTGTTTTGTTTTGAACTTGTTGGTGTTCACCCTTTGAGTGTTAAAAATAGTTGGAACTCTTACAGGTTCTGAGTTTTATTTTATTTTTTGGAAAATATAAATTAAATTAAATTAAACAACAACAACATTTTTTTGGTTATCAGAAGAAATCTAAAAGCATGTCAACACTATTTGTATAATCTTTAATAAAAACATAAACAATGGAACAGTTAGATGAACACCTCTCTTTAATAGTGTGCCACATATACTAATTAATTTCATTATTACATCATTATTTGGTTTTACATAAATTTATATACAATAATAATAATAATAATAATAATAATAATGAATATTTTCAAATAAAAAGATATGTTAAAAACTAAAAATAAAAAATTCAAAGATGAATTTTTAAAACCCCAATGTTTATTTTCTTAGAAAATAATGTTATGACAATACTATTATTATATATATCTGGTGATGCATGGCATGGGGGGTGTCCACTAAGTTGTTTCCATAAATAAATACACATAGATTTGTAAACAAAACATGCTACAAGAGATCAATTCATATTTGTAGATAAAATATGATGAAAGTTTTTTAACTTCAAATATGCTTCAACTATTCTGACCATAAAAATGTTTTGTATTTTAATAGTATTTATAGTACTAAAAGTAATGGTAGTTTTTTAAAATAATCTCTCTCTTTCTATATATATATATATATATATAAATTGAAAAGGGAGAAATAAAGAAATATGTGTATGCTTTGATATATAATGTCAACTTTAGATAATAACTAAAACAATATATTTCTTTAATATAATTTTAAAAAACTAAAGCTTAGATATTCACAAGACCAATTGGTTTTTATGTTGTATTATATAAATCACATTCTTATAACTATGTGTAGTTATTTATTAATTATTCAACACAAATAAACTTGATAGTATGTATTTTATCTTTATCTTAAAAGATTTCTAAACTTGATCAAACCCTCAAAAAATATAACAAAGCTCTTTAATATCAAGTTTTTAAATTTTAGAATATAAAACTATCAAAAATTATGATTACAACCAAAAATAAATTTTAAAATTGAATATAAAATATTTTATTATGTAATATAACGTAAATTAATGAAAAACAATTGGGATGTCTATTTGTGTCATTGTTTAACATGTACTACTTTCTAAACATTGTACAAACATCACACACAAGTTTATTGTCAAATTTTGTCTTGGATAGAGCACTACATGTATTTTTTCTTTTTTCTTATAAAAAATAGATTAAAATATTGAATGAATTTATAATATCAAAATAACTACTATCAACAGTAATTAAAAGAAATTCTTAAGCTAATTTTGAAAAAACATTATCACTAAAATTCAAATACCATTGCATATAGAATGTTGAAACAACTCAATGGTAGAAGTTTTACGATAAAGTCTTATAAGAAAAATGTTTCTCTTGAAAGATATGGTGGTTGCATAAGTGCATAAAGACAATGCCAATCATTTTATTGACTTGTCACATATGACATACAATATTACAATTATAATATCGTCTTCTAAATGTGAATGCAGCAAATAAATAAATAGATAAAACACTAGAAAATAAATTCTATGTCTTATTTAGTCCAAAAGTTAAAGAGTGAGAAAATCATGACATGCTAAAAACATACAAAAAGGCAGATTTGTCCTTAACAAGTACACAGGCTTTCTTCAATAGTAAAGACATCATTTTCAAATTTTTATTTAGTACAAGTTTTTATTTAAATATATGTGTGTGTGTATATGGATGTATGTATGTATGTGAGAGAGAGAGTAAGGAAAATAAATATATATATATATATATATATATATAATTGCTTTCATGAGTTGCAAGAAAAAGTAATTAAACAATTCTAGAAAACATTATTTAATTGTTGTAGAAACACATAATGTATTTCAAACTAAAGTTTTTAATAATTACTCTGAACTTACACTCTATTGAATAGTTTCCAAGAAATTATTAACAAAAATTTCTGTATCTAAGATTTTATGCTACATGCATGTGATTTTGATTCTAAATTTTTGTATTTTTTACTTCTTCAACTATATATGTTATTAAATGAAATATAATATTTAATTATTTATTTATTTATACATGGACCATTATTCTAAGAGAAACTTGACTTTGATCATTTTTGGCACTATTTATTATGTTATTATTTCATTTATGTTCTGATCTTTTTTTTAACAAAATTTTAAGATTCACTGTATACATTTGTGGATTTTAATGATCTAAAAATTACCAACAAATTCTGTGATAACCAAGTGCCAATTAACATGAAGACTATATAAGAGAGTTGTATTACTCAATCACAATAGATTTAAAGTTTATTCTTGTACTTTGTAATATGTTTTTACAACTAAATATACACACATATGTAATAAAAAAACCAATTTTAGAATACTAAATGAATATATTTTCACTGACGAGTTATTTTTAAAAGAAATTTAATGTTTTCTTCATTTGCATGTTTGTATGTATGTATGTACACCCTTTCATTAATACTAACAAGTTTAAAAATTCATCCACATCTTTGAAAGAGAATGCCCATGACATGCCTCTTAAAATATTATGTTTATGAAGACAATGAGTTAAATATAGATATTAAAAAAAATATAGAATTGAGTAATTGAACTTCAATTTGCATTCTAGGAACAAATTTTGTGACCCAAATCAAAGAAAGAGAGATATTTACTTTCCAGTGAATGGGACAAAGGTACTACTACACATTTGAGCTTATTGTCAATGGAAGGAGAAAGGTAGCAACGTAAGACAAAATTCTAATAAATAAAATCTACTTTAAAGAGAAGATTAAACCCTATTGAGCAAGAATAAAATCATGTTTGGAATTAATATATATATATATATATATATTGGAGGGACTAAGATTAGGTCACACATTAAGGGGGGTACTTGGCACAAGCTCACAATACAATACACTATGATAGGGGATGCAAGTGCAACAAATGATGAGAATGAAAGTATGTGCGTTGATTTGGAGATGATTGAAAACAATGGAGGTAGTACTAAGAAAGAATATCAGATGATATCTTTGTCTTTCGTAACTTTCAACCTTACATATTAATCAATTGGGTTTAGGGTTAGGTTTTCCCATCCTCAAAACATCATTACTATACTTCAATTAATTAATTAATTTTTAAAATAATAATAACAACAACCACAACAACAACGAAAGAAAGAAAGAAAACAAGGTCGCTAGCAGTAAAATCTGAAGTCATATCAAGCCAGACGAAAAATAAACCGCACTAATTAATATGGTACGACGGCCTTTCGGGACGATGAATAACATTCATCCACAGAAGATTATGAATGAATTCTTCTATTCGTTCGTTTGTTCGTTCGTTCGTGGTTCATCTATCCAGAGACTGTGTGTTGCGGTGGACAATGGGGCCTGATTTGTCAGTTTCTGCTTCACCGAATCGTGTTGGTTGTTGCGGAATTTTGCCGGTGCGGTGCTTGAATGCACGGAGGAGCTCGAATCAGAAGCAGTAGAAGCAACACCAACACCTCTGCAATCTGCGTCCACGATTTCGCAACTTTCTGAGGCCTGTTGTTTTTTAATCTTTATCGACGCAGTCTGCGTCGATATTAAGGAATTTCGCCCAGTTTTGTTTTCTTCTTCGGCGTCGTGTGTTGGGACAAGGTGGGAAATGGCCGTTGTGGCGATACCCAGCAGCGTGCATTCCATACTGCGAGGCGACATGTCTTGGTGATGTTTTTAGAAGATCGTAAAAACAAGTTTTGTGCTTTTACTCTCTCGCTCGCGTTCTCTTTCTTCTCGCCACTGTAATGTGGTGTTTGTTTTGTATTTTCGGTAATTGTTTGGAGGGGGATTGAATTCATCTATGGCGCAACGAGTGGAGCAGTTGCAGCCTGTAGGGTACTCCACCCATCTGTTGAGAAGAAGCGGGCGGTGGAAGGAAGGGAGGGCGGGCTGCAGTCGTACCGTGGTGTCTTCCGTAGTCGCCACGTCTATGTGACTTTTGCCAAAAAGCATTTGACGCTTTCCTCACCTTTCTCTCGATTTCGTGATCAGGGTCGTGCGCTCCTCCTGCCAATTTCTTGTTTTCCAGCATTTGGCCTCCATGCTGGAGTTGTACTTCCAGATAGCGATGCTCTGTTTCTTGCAGTTAGAGATTTCATGGCGACTACGGAAAGCCTTCTCATCCTCTCACAAGTTTTCTTTCGTGTGATGAGCCACCAGACGAGAAGATTGAGGATGGATTGTAGACGGGCCCTGTTCGTTCCAACCACCTAGTTGGAGTATCCTGCTGTCAGATGAGCGACATATTACAACCAATACAGATTCCCAGTAATAGCTAGAAGAAACGGGAAACTAAGAGGTACTTAGGACAAGGAGAGATGGTGGATGTTGAGCATGGTTTGGTACGATGATTTTCCCACTTTCGTAATCAAGGAACAGTTAAAAAGTCATGAATAAGAAGTGTAACTTCGCTTAGGGGAGTTGACAATTCTCTAAACAATCCACACACGGGACTGATGAAATAGTGACCACTGCGTGAGTAGGAGGAATTCTCTACAGAGCCTTACATAGACAATGGTCATATGGACATACACAATGAATACACAGAAACAAAAGTCGTTCTCTAAGCTTGGCATAATTTGTCTCCAGGGCATGCGTTGTGCATTGTCCTTAACTTAGCTATAAGTGCATGGACTGGCTAATCTCACTCAAGTAGTAACCTAATCCAAACAAAGCTTGCAAATCAAAACTGCAAGTGGATGCTACAAATTAAAGCCCTGGAAGAGCCGGTAGGCTAGCTGGAAGGTTGGCCAAGATTGGTCCATGAAATTGTAATGCTGCGATGTAGTAAGCGATGCCTGCAACATATCCAGCCAATGCATAGCCACTCACCTGCCAAAAAAAACAATTCTCGTTTAACACCAACTGCAAGAGAACACAAGTATTCGGAATAAAGCGCCTCCATTATCAAAACCTGTTATTCAAGTTAACAAGCGAGAACATAAACTTTTATCTACAACACAGAAAAACGAAAAAGGCAAATGCTGGTTCTTACCTTTTTCAGGTACCATAGGAAGTCGGCTTTTTCCATGCCCATGTAGGCGACACCTGCAGCAGAGCCAATGATAAGGATAGAACCACCTGTTCCAGCACAGTACGCTATAAGTTGCCACAGCTCTGAATCCACGGGAAACTGTTCGGTGGTGTACATGCCCATCGTCGCAGCCACTAAAGGTACGTTATCAATAAGAGCTGATGCCAGCCCAATTGTACCCGCTATCAGCTCGACATTTGGAATATGATCGTTCAGATACTGGGCAAGATCCTGCAATATTCCCGCTGATTGCAAGCTGCTCCACATCATATCAAAACCCGTCAGAGCGATATTCTTTCTTTTTCACTTCTCACTTATCCCACTTGTCCTTTTCAAAGGGGCAAGCACTTCACAAAGCCAATATCACCAATGTTCCAAGGCATTAAGATTAACGAAAATCATAAGCCATAGATTTTAATTCTCAAACTTCCAAACTGCAATATCAAAAAGATGAGGGGTTACAAGTTTTGTGATTCATGCTTTGCATACCTTCCGACAGAGAGAAGGATGCCGAGGAAGAAGAGGATGCCCTGAGTGTCAATCCGTGAAAGAGCCTGTGGCACTTTCAGTTGCTGTCGACCACTTTCACCATAATGTATGGCGTCAGTTAGAAGCCACAATGATCCTAACCCTAGCAGCATCCCGAGGAAGGGAGGTAGGCCAGTCAAAGACTTAAAGATTGGCACAAACAAGAGAGCCCCAATTCCTGCACCAAACACAAGTTGCCCTCTTGGAGCCATCTGTTCTGATGTCAATGCTGGGGTAGGGTCTTGTGCTTTACCCTCTGTATCACTGCAATAAAGTTAAACTGCGTTGAGTTTCATCTTCCACCTTCATGATGAAATTTCCAAGTCCAGCATCATATGAGAGGGACAGTGAAGGAACCCACCTATTCAGAGACATCAGGGCAAGTGGAACAGCAAGCGAGATTGCTGAGGGGATAAAGAGGTCCTGCAACCCACGTAAAGCTTCTTTTAAGTCTTCTAGAAAGCTCCATCAAGCCATAACAAACGAACTAGTCAACTCCAAATGCCATGCGAAAGTCCACCAAATGTCTAACTTTTACATGGAAAATGGCAGATGTTCTACAGCCTATCCACATTCTATCGCTTATTGGAGAAGAATTCAAACCACATTTTCAGATGTTTATCCCCAAGTCTTGATATAAATTTTAAAAAGGAAAAAAAAAAAAAAAAACCGCCACCACCTACTCAAGTGCACAAAATGAGACCAAATGTTCGCAGCAGAATCTAATATAACACGTGCAATAAATACCTGGAAAATCAGTAAAACATCAAACGCAACACTTTACCTGAAGTGTCCGTACTGAAGAAATATGCCCATGAATCCAAAGCATGGTGGTCGTAACATCCCCAATAGGTGTCCAAGCACCACCTGCATTGGCTGCGATCACAACAACTGCTCCTAGAAATCTAATGAGCCCCACCCCCATCCATAAATTATAAATCACTCAAACACAAGGCAACTTTCCTGATGAGCGCATGTCAATTGCCAAACCAAGATATTCAACAAAGGCGCCAACAGAGAATACCATGAAGTGCCTAAAGGCGATCCGACATAATGTATACCTGCGTTGTTCGGGATCTTTGACCAACTTGCGCAGGAGTGATACCATCACAATGGTGGAAGTCAGATTGTCCAACACCGAACTAAGGAAGAAGGTAAACCAACCAACCTGTTCATAGCCAAGCTCTTTTCATAAATCCGACATTTTCGAGTAAGGACACGACAATATCACTTACAATTTGGTGTAAAAAAGGACCATTAATTCAACTCAAATTCACATATCCTGAGGCATCTGAAAGAGACCAATCGTTATCTGGGTTCTTAATACATTTGAAACTTCCGAATATCATCTACACCAAATTTAGTGTACTGCTGCAGTTTTCAATAACTCAGAAGCTCCCACTTATGAACTGCTACAGCAATACAATATTCAACTTCCACAGGAATATTCACTCACCAAAAAAGTTACCACATGCAACCAGATTTCTCAACCAAGCAGTTACAAGAGCTTGACTTCTTTCTGCAAACGGATCCACTTGTATGTTCGTAACAAATGATTAAAAGTCGGAAAGAAGAGAGGAGCAGCCAGCCCTACCACCCACAGAAGAAGTCGTGGCTTTCGTGTTGTGATGGAATCAGTAACAATCTTGAACCCTTGATGTGCGTCAATGATCTCCACAATTGTCATGGCACCCAATAAGAAGAATACTATTTCGCTCACTTCAGTACACGACTCTGTCAACTGTGCAGACGCCACTTCCACGCTAGGGGCCTGTAAATGCAACCACATATCTTTAGGTTCGAGACCTATAAAAAAACTGTGCAGGACTTCAACAAGACTGTACCAGCTTCACAAGAAAAATATTTTGGGTTAGCAAATCCCTCCGAGAGCCTAACAGGCTTGGTATTATCCCCCGTTAAAATATCTGTGACCTCCAAATGCTCCAGGAGCTCGATCTTGGTAAATTTTCTTTCATTTTATTTGTTCGTTTCTTACAATGACTAAGCAACCGATACATACCCATGAAGCCTTCACCTACTATAAAATATATCAAGAGTCCTGCTTCACCATTCCTGTATCAACAATTCTTGAATCATATAAAAGCTTGGGAAGGAAATTATCTGGCTCATATTTCCCATCAACATATCAAGTTATGTTGCCTGTTCAAATATCAGAATGTCCGACTGATAAAGTTACAAGAGTGACTAAAAAATGACATTGTAATAATTTGCTGAAGGTTGGTGCATCATGATCCTCCATAATAATCGAGATGGACAGAAGGTCAGTACGTTTCACCAGTAAGGGGTCCTAACTTCAGTACGAACATGGCCAAACGAAAACGGCTGATTGAGGGTTTAGGGTTTGGACATAAAATTTTCCACGTACAAACAGCAGGATAGCACTACAGACGTGCACTTCAGACAACATCACTTTGTGGTATTGGAGATCCCTTCTCATTCTGATTCCTAAATTCCACAAACGTACACTACCTATGTATCGTAAAAGACATTAACTGCAGAGGTTGAGAAGGTACCCCAATGCTCCGAATCGTCCACAAAGTCACTGCCATCAAAAGCCCTACTCCACTCTTGTTGAAAGCCAGAAACTCTTCAAATATAATTCCCATATATCCAAGTCCGAACACCACTGACATAGCAAGGTTCTGGACATCCATATACTACAGGATCAGGTACATTCATCAAAGGAATTTGGAACAAACAATTCAAATTTTCGATCATTACGTCCTCTAAAAGCAAAACTCAAAACCGTGTCCACGAGAGAACTCGAACACTTGCCTGGTTTTCAGCCACCCAGGAATGATTGACGACTCCAGCTACAGCAAGCACGGTTGCACCGACTACGACCGCCTTGATAATATCTGAATTGGGTTTGTAGCTTTCTTCAAAATCCTCAGAGCTCATCTCATCGACTGAACACAACGGGTCGCATGTTCCAGCAGGTGTATCGCCCGGTTCGTCAAGCCTATACGCTTCTTCTACAATCGAGTAACTCTGCCCTCACAATCCATCCCGAAAGATAAGCTTCTTGCACATGCACTACCCTTCACAATTCCTACTCAAATTCCCCACCTCACACAACCGCATGCGTTATCATCTTGCATTCGCACTGCCAAAATTAACCAGCCCATCATCAATACAATCCACATTGGTCCGCCACGCGAAAAATCGACCAAAAGAAAAAGTGCACTACCCCTTGCTCGCTCTTCAACCACACCACAATCGAACCTGCCTTAACCACGAACCCCCAGCTACCTCCCCCACATGCAGATGATGGAAACGAGAAGCACCTTGGGATTCGACTCAGCTCCATCGTCAGAAGCCGAAGCTCGGATAGTACCGCCGAGACGGCGTTTCGGCGCCAGAGCTGACAACCGAGGGAGGCGACACCGCAGGCCGGGCAGTGACAGCATGGGGAACTGAGCGCGACCCAGAGGATCGACTCCTCTGCACTGCGCGCGGAGCAACGACGGCGGAGCTGCCATGGCAGCCATCGTTGCCGCCATGGCAAGAGTCAAGCAATGAAGATATGGGTAGTTTCACAAGAGACCGCGCACGAGAGAGAGCGAGGTCTTCCGCGCGCGCACGCTAGAGATGTTCCGCAACGGAGAAGAGGAAGCTTGCGTTCGGAAGTGTGTCAACATGTGAAGCGACGCCGCCACGGAGACCACAACAACCCAGTCAGCGAGCGAGCAAGCGAAGCGAAGCAAACAAGCAAAGTGAAGCAAATCAGGCCATCCGCGGAGCATGGGACCTGATCGGCTCGTCGCGTCGCCACCAGCGCGGATGACGCCACGCTCCTCCGCAGCCTCTCAACGCTCGCTCGCTCGCACTCGCGTCTTCGTAAATGTGAACAAAATAAAGCTAAAAAATAAGTTTTTCTTCCTTGTGCTTGGTTTGGTTGAAGTTGTGGGCAGGAAGGTGATGTGAGAACGTTAAAGAGTTCTTTGGGGGGATTGAAGGAAGAGATTAGTTTGAATGGGAGGATGTAGATGTGTTGTGGTTTTAAGCTTCGGATTCTCTTTTGGAATGTTGGAAGGTTTGTTTTGGTAGGATTTTGAGATGAGTTTTTAATATTACATTGTTTTTTTTTAATAAGAAAATGTTTGTGTTTGTAAGTGTGGTAAAGTGAGAATTTTGAGAAATAAGTGAAATAATCAATTTAGTGTGAAGTTATTGATTGTATAGTTTAAAGAGATTGGCTATATTTTCTTCTTATAAAATAAATAATTTTAGCTAAAATGAAAATGCCAAAGACATATGGATCTTAGAAAGGTTTTAGAAAATCTAATTAGGAGAGACATTTTTATTTTATTTTTATTGTTTTAAAACCAAAAAGTATGTAAGATTTGAATTATAATTATTTGATTTTTTAACAAATTGTGTTCTTTAATAGTAAACCAACAAAAATAGAAGATAAAAATAGTGGACAATTTGACATAGATCTATTTTAAATAGCTCTAATATAAAAAATACATATTTATATATTATGAAAGTAGGAATAAAAATGAAATTTCTAAATTAATGTCATGTAATATCTTTTAGGACATAGTTTAGAACTTCTATGTCTATATGAATATTACCTTAAAGATGTATCAACAAACTAATATGTTCATCTTTTTAGTAAAATTAAAAAATTTGACTTTTAGAAGTTCATTTGGAATTTAAGTAAATTTTTAAATGAAAGAATACCTAAACCTTAAAATTAGGAAAATGATAAAGCAACCAAAATTTTTATTAAAGAAACCCACATGTTTAAACCATCATTGTACCCTTTTAACTTCATCTTTGTTTATAGCTATTCTCTTATTCTCAACAGTTGAAAACATGGAACAACTAGAAATAGGAATGGGCTTGCAAGGGTGCAATCATGGTTAAGATAGAATGGATATCTTTAATAAAAATTTGGGTCCCTTTATCATTCCCCTAAAATTGTAGAAGATTTCAAAGAAAAAAGAATTTTAATAAAATAAATTAAAAACAAAATATAACTTCTAAATTTGGATTTAATGCTTGACACTAAGAATTTAAATTAGAAAGAAAGAATGTAACACATTTAAAAAAGAACATCTCAAACTATGATCCAATAATTCATAAAGTAAAAGAAACTTAATAACAATGTCTAGTAATACAATATATATATATATATATATATATATATTAAGCAATAAAAATAATGCAAAGGGTGAATATTTTGGATTTGTTTTTTCTAATATACAAGAATTAAAAAATATATTATAAATAAGACATAGAAGGTCAAACATGCTAATATATATTATGAGAATGTTAAATAGACCTAAGCTTTTACTAAATTGACTCATCCATTCTAACCATCATGAAAAAAAAATAATGATTTCTAGATTCATTTCTCTATTATTAGATGTGCAATCAATAAAAATCAACCACATTCATCACAACTACCATATTCTTCATTAAAGGTGGGACTATTTTGTAAAATCATAGGTCTATTTAATATTCCCTCATATATATATGCTAAATATTTAAAATCAAAATATTGGTTGATTTTGATCAAATCCTAATCCAATATTTAATGCAAAAAACTCAAAAACTTAAAACCAAAATCAAATAACGTGTTTGGTTGTAATATTATCATTATTCTAAAGCCATAAAAAAGAAAGGAAAAGAAAAGAAAAGAAAACTCCTCCACAAGATGGAAAGCATCCAACAAACTTCCTCGTCGAATCCAAAATGGATGAAGATGAAAACAAGAGATAAAATACCTATCCACTCGAATTCATCCACCAATCTATCCATCCACTCATTCACCATCTATATTTTCATCCACTAACTTATTCATCCTAAATTTCATTCATCCATCCGGCAGGACACCAGCGCGACGGGGGGGTGGGGGGGAGCTTGCGACGGCGAAAGGCTAAAGGGCTTGGGGGAAACCGACCCTGTGCCACTTGTGTTGGGGCTGATGCGTGCTCCCATCTCTTCCTTCTTCTTCTTCTTCTTCTTCTTCTTCTTGTTTTGCGGATCTCTCCTCACATATCCTCACTCACCATGGCTGCTGCTTGCGGAGTTGTTGCTTCGTAGCCGGGATTCGCACGCACTACCTGGGAGAAGGGGTTTTTTAATTTTTTATTTTTACAGTGGCCAGTTTTGGATGTGATATTGGATTTATTGGAATTTTGTTGTGGTTGTGAGGAGAGGAGCATAATCCGTGAGGGAGAGATAATATTAGTCGTCATTGTACTTAATTCTTCGGAAAGAAGTGAGGGTCAGGTTTGAGGGTCAATATCCAAGTGTTTTGGCTGGTGGTGACAGAAGTTTTTTTAACGAGGATGGTGGAGAGGTTGGGTGAATTTGGGGAGCATTGATGTGTGCTCTGAAGTAGGGAGGTGATTGCGAGCAGAGTGAGGAGTTTTTTTGTGGGTTTTGAGGAGAGGTCGTCATGGCGACAGCAACGGGCATCGAATTTTCTTCTTCATTGTCCTGTGTGCTTCAATCTTGTGCAACGTACAGCTGCGTGGCTGGAATCCTCGGCGTCAGCCCCGCTGCGAAACAGTCTTTCACTGGGGGGTTTCGAGCGCGCAGGGCGTTCGTGCCGCCTCGACTGGGATTCAAGCATGGATTGGGACAGGGATTAGGTGCAGGGAATACATTTGGAAGCGGAGGCAGGGGCACAGGTGGGAAGTTCGTGTATGAACTTGTGTACTCTTCGTCTTCCGGGCACAATGGGTCTATTAGGGCGCAGGTGACAAACAACAGCAGTGACCCGACCGTTCCGAAGGAGATGTCGGTCACCGAAAAGCTTGTTAGCCTTCCGGGCGCTATCTGGAAACAAATTTTGGGGCCCTTGAGCAACTTTGGGTTTGGGAAACGCAGTTTGTGGGAAGGAGGTGTGGGACTTTTCATCATGTCTGGTGTGCTTCTGTTGGCAATCACGCTCGTTTGGGTGAAGGGCAAACAAATCCGCGCTCAAACTCGCAAGTACGAAGCCGTGTTTGAATTCCAGCTGGCGCAGGGCATTACTGTAGGTACCCCAGTACGAATTCGTGGAGTGGATGTGGGAAATGTTGTCCAGGTGCGACCCAGCCTCGAGAAAATTGATGTGGTGGTGGAGCTCTCGGACGCGGGAATTGTTGTGCCTCGTAATGCATTGGTAGAGGTAAATCAAAGTGGTCTCATTAGTGAGACGCTGATCGACGTAACCCCGCGAAGGCCAATCCCCAAGCCTACCGTAGGACCCCTTGACCCTAAGTGCCCCTCGGAGGGGCTTATAGTGTGCGACAGGGAAAGGATAAAGGGGGAACAGGGCGTGAGCTTGGATGAGCTGGTCGGTATTTGCACCAAGATTGCTCGTCAAATTGATGGTCTTGGAGTCGAGCGAATGGCAAGCATGGCTGAGCGTCTCGGCGACGCCGTCCAAGAGGCACGACCGCTGCTTCTGAAGGTAATCTTCAACCTTAGGGCATGAGAGTATAAGGTACGATAGTCTGCGGCTTCCCTAAAGACATGGCAGCAGCCTCATATACACTGTAAAATTCAAGACTTGACGATAACCAAACAATTATTGAATGAGTGACTCGGGGTGAGCTGCGCAGGTTCAGTCCATGGCAGAAGACGTTGAGCCATTGCTGAAAGAAGTAAGGGAGGGTGGACTTCTAAAGGACTTCGAAAAGCTGACAAAGGTTGCTGCGGAGGCAGGACGCGACTTGAGGTAATTAACGATTATTTTATCGCTTCTCTTTTTTCTCTGTGCCAATGATTTTAAACAAGAAGTGGTTACTGCTGATCATTTTGCGCAAGGCAGTGGCGTGGGTGTAATTCTCGTTGTGCATTATCCTTTGCAATGCCATCAAGCATTGCTAGGATTGTGTAACTCAACGTATTTTTAGATACCATCGTCTTTGACGAGTTACTCGTATAAAATAAGAGACCTTAGCGTTCGACACGCGCTGTGTTCATAACTGCATCTATTTTAACAACCTTGGTGGTTAATTAACTGTACGATGATGTCGGGAAATATGTGTCTTCACCTTGTGCTATTTCTTTGTTGAAGAATTTAAAGAAACTACTCTACTTAAATTGATATAATGCAGTCAAGACCTCGCTTGTATTGCAAACAGTTTTTCTGTAGTTATTGGCCAATTTGAAATATTTCCCTTATTCTGAGTTCTCTTTTTTCATGTGCAGTAATCTGAATAAAGTGGTGCTGACTTCGGATAACACGGAATTGCTGCGAGATTCCGTGTCCACATTGACCAAAACCTTAAAACATGTTGAGGTAAAATCTTCTTGTACTGGCCGTGCAAAGCGTGGTCTAGGTTGCTTTTCCGTCAGTCCTGTTGTTGTATCAATTTCTACATGACCTATTGCTACTCGGTTGTAACGGCATAGTGTCCACCACTAAATGCATAACCATGGCACTTTGCAGAGCATCAGCAAAGATGTCAGTGGGGTGACTGGGGATGCTAAAACGAGGAACAATTTGAGGCAGCTGATCGAGTCACTAAGCCGGCTTGTTACTGACTAGTTAGGAGGAGACATGTAAACTCTAGGATTCAACACTCCATTCTTGAACCTTTATGTTGGTCACACGAAATTATACCAGATTGGGTGAGGGATGTTTGTGACTGACTCGCGGTCTCTTGTAAGTACAACGATGACCAGATATTTTGGTCACATCAATATGACCTGCAAGCTTTTGCAGGATTGTAGCAATAGGTCTGGTACTTTCAGTTGGTGCTCTTTCTGCAACTGTTAGAGAACTTGGTTGTTCTGTTGCCAAGGGCACGTAGAAATCTACAGCATGCCCTGTTTTCTGAGTTTTTGACCCAGGATGTTTCTTTGAAGTGCGCAGCTCTGTGTAGAAATATAAGGCATTGCAAAGGTCAGGTGCTGTTGATGGACAGCATGCTTGCTGAAGTGGATGTTTTCCTAATTCGGCTCTAATATGCTCGTTCATTCCGACCTCAGTTTATGTGGCGACTGTAACCAACATAAACACTACCTTTGTCACTTTTTAATATTAGCTAATGTTGACTTCAGCAGTGTTCATGCTATCCCTGCAACCCTCGATTACGTTTCAAGCTTTGAAGCTATGAACTTCAAAGCTATTATATTCAGGAGGAGATCAGTACTGTCAGTTGAGCATAAATATATTTTCCTTATCGTCTTTCTGATTCGTTCTTGAGGGCACGCTGGAGTCTGGGATGGAAAACTGAGCTTTGGAGCTTGGGAACTGTTTCTTGCTTGAAGGCTTTTCCTGGGAGCCCCAAAAACCTTATTCCAGACATTCTGTGCATCTCACCAAACAGCTTCATATCACCAAATCGCATCTCTGTCCGCAGTTCTTTGGGTTTTCTGTGCCACTATTGGATATCTTCCGCATGCTCTCGCACATGCAGGACCAATGTCGTGTTAGCAGGTGGCAGAACTTGTGGCGTATTCACGTTCTTCATTTGTGGTAACACAAGACAAGCTAGACCTCGAGCCCTTGTTTTTCGTCCCTTGGATAGACCGGATTCGCGTACTTCACTACTTGTAAAGACAAATTTCGAGCAACCGATAACAGATGCTGCACTTTAATCACAGTAAAGAAAAACCTACAATGGAAAGTTCTACATTCATCTGGTAATAAAAAATTGAGGGTTGGGGAGTTGAGTCCACAGTTAAGATAGCGAAACACGGATAGAGGAGAACAAATATGGCCATAAATCTTGATAAGAATCTCAGATTTCAGCACAACACATTTAATCGAGCAATTTTCACCGCAAATCGAATGTACACGTAACCAGATTTTTTTGAAGGCAATAAACCTGTTAGAGCTTATAATTTCTATTACACAAAGTATTTTTTTTAGTGAAGATTCCGAGTTGTCTTCGTTCTCTTGAAATCGTGGAGACATGACGAGTCCGAGTGCTTTGCGTTCATGGATGAGAGTGTGGCAGCGCGACTTCAAACCCAAACCGTTGGCACCTTCATCCACGTAGCATCCCCGAGTCATGCGGCGATCATTCGAGATTGAATTGACGCAGAACGAACCCTACCTAGCTGTGGGTTTTCCCTCGTAGCGCTTGGGGTTGCAGAGTGTTGTTGGGTTTTTTGAGTAGTGTTGCTGCGTTGGAGCAATGGCTGCGACGCGGGGGTTGAGCCGTAAGACATTGGCAGGATTGCAGAGATGGAACAACGCGACTCCGGTATGGAGCCGAACGATGAGCGCGCAGGCAACATCTGGACCGCAGGCGACTGCTCCACCTCCGCCCCCTCCTCCTCCGCCTGCCGAGAAAACGCAGTTTGGAGGTTTGAAGGACGAGGACAGGATCTTCACGAACTTGTATGGGATTCACGATCCTTTCCTAGCAGGCGCGAAGAAGCGGGGGGATTGGCATAGGACCAAGGATTTGGTGCTCAAGGGGACGGATTGGATTGTGAACGAGATGAAGAAGTCGGGTCTGCGAGGGCGAGGCGGCGCCGGTTTCCCTTCTGGGTTGAAGTGGTCTTTCATGCCCAAGGTGTCCGATGGTCGTCCGTCGTATTTAGTGGTCAATGCGGATGAGAGCGAGCCTGGAACATGCAAGGACAGGGAGATCATGAGGCACGACCCGCACAAACTGCTCGAGGGTTGCTTGATTGCTGGAGTAGGAATGCGCGCTCGTGCTGCGTATATCTACATTCGAGGAGAGTATGTCAACGAGCGGTTGAATTTGCAGAAGGCCCTGCACGAATGTTACAAGGAAGGTAGTTGTGATGATCTTTTGTCGAATTTCGGGCCTGAAATTTAAGCTTGCGTCTTCTTTTGCTCCCAAGAGCTTGCACTAACGGGAGAAGTTCAAATTCGATAGACAGGTCGCAGAAGCTGAAGTTCAGGACTGTTAGGGTTGTCCATCCTGTTGATGTAGGTGTAGGATTCGTAACAATAGATTGATGAGCAATCTCGTCTCTCTGGTTGAGAGACGATAATAGCTGTCGTGTAGGATATAAGAATTAGGATTTTCCTAATTATAAATTAGGGTTTATTGATGGTTGTTGTTGATGTGTAAACCCCGACCTGTAGTGCCTGGAAATGAACGGATTTTTGTCAGGAATCTGACGGTTGATTTATCGTGATAAGTCACGAACACCATTTTTGGAGCTTAATTAATTCCTTTTTAATCTTATTAATTAGACGACTACAATTCTATAATAGAATAACAATGGTCTCTGATCCCATTGTGCAGACGTGGGATTTCAAGAAATTTCGCTAACAGTTTTTGTTTTTGAACATTTGAGAAAATCTCTAGTTTTAACAGTTTAGTTGCTGGGGCCGAGAAGTACTGTACATTTATTACATGTGTTTCTAATCAATTTATACTACATATGATCTGGATACAGGTCTGCTTGGGAAGAACGCATGCGGTTCAGGATATGACTTTGATGTCTATATTCATTACGGAGCCGGTGCGTATATTTGCGGAGAAGAGACTGCTCTTCTAGAGAGTCTTGAGGGAAAGCAGGGCAAGCCACGATTAAAACCACCATTTCCTGCAAATGCTGGACTCTACGGCTGCCCCACTACTGTGACTAATGTTGAGACTGTAGCTGTGTCTCCTACAATTCTACGAAGGGGACCTGAATGGTTTTCGAGTTTTGGGCGGAAGAATAACTCAGGGACAAAGCTATTCTGTGTCTCTGGACACGTGAACAAGCCATGCACAGTCGAAGAGGAAATGAGCATACCATTGAAGGAGCTCATTGAACGACACTGTGGTGGAGTGAGAGGAGGATGGGACAACCTTTTGGCTATTATTCCAGGAGGATCTTCTGTGCCTCTACTTCCCAAGAACATTTGTGATGATGTCCTCATGGATTTTGATGCATTGAAGGCTGTTCAATCAGGTTAGTGTCCTCTTTGCAGTGACATTCTTTCATAGAACTTTATGATGACACGATTCGAATGTACCATCTGGTGATTTGAGGGGCGAACGCTCTGCATGATTTATTCTCTGCTGGATGGGGGCGTAAGAGCGAAGTGATCGTTAAGAGTCTGCTTTGTGAGATTGTTAGAATCCACGGACGTAGGTGCATATTTTTTATTGGTTCATTCTTATTGTTGAAGGCTTTATTTGATGAGGGTGTGTGGAACTGAATGTTGTCCTTCCTCATCGTTACTGCTATTTAACGAAAAATGTCATGGTTTTATTTTTGGGTTAATATTTGGAATTCCGACTGAAGGTGCATCTTGTGCCTGACCTACAGCTGTGGTGATTAATTCTCCTGTTTGTGTTTGATATATAGGTCTCGGCACTGCTGCTGTGATTGTGATGGACAAGTCTACAGATGTTGTTGATGCTATTGCTCGCTTATCGTACTTCTACAAACACGAGAGTTGCGGCCAATGTACACCTTGCCGAGAGGGTTCTCCTTGGTTGTGGACTATGATGGAAAGATTGAAGGTTGGAAACGCAAAGTTGGAAGAAATCGACATGTTGCAGGTATTCCTTCTGTTTTTACATGAGTGGTTCTTTTGGTTTATGGCGCTTTTATCAACAGTATTCTTTACTTTAAATACAATCTTCTCAGAGAAACTGACTCAAATGTATCTAGGTTCTGCTCTGCAGTAGGTGGATATTCTAATGTGCCATGAGGCATGGAGACTTCAGTTCCTATCTTCGGATCACAGTATGAAATGGACTGTAGCGTTCTGTTTGTATCAAATTGTTTAGTTTTTATTCCGTCCAAATCCCAATTGGCCATTGGTTTCAATTATGTTCGGGGTTTGTCACACAAAAGCTTGACGGACTCCTTACTCTTGTTTACTTGTTTTATTTTCAAAACAGGAAGTTACAAAGCAGATTGAGGGCCACACTATCTGTGCATTGGGGGATGCTGCTGCATGGCCTGTGCAAGGTTTGATCAGACATTTTAGACCAGAACTTGAACGCCGGATATTGGAACGAGCAGCCAAGGAGAACGATGAGTTGAGAGTAGCTAATTGTTAGGGGATAGAACTAGTCGGATTTTGAGAAACGCAAGATGTCTTAGGGAAGGCAGACTTGGTCGTCGAGCAATTGAATTATCTCGATTGAAGTTCATGTGACGAGGAACTCTCGACACAGTACCGAATAATTCTGCTTCCCACAGCAGTATTCTGCTGCAGTGGTCAATCATTCCAGCTATTGTTCTGACCGTTTGAGTCAGATTCTCTGGATGACAACTGTTTTCAACTCCATCTCCTCTATTTTCCTTTAATTTAGCATTCATGTTACTGAATCAAGTCGTGAGTTGGTGTGACGTTGCTGTGAATCATAGTTTATTTGCTTGCGTTGGTGCACCATATAGTTTGGAACTTGGATCTAAAATGGAAGCTTCCATGATTTCGTCACCTGGTTAGCATACGGTATCGATCTTCCGCGAATATTCACGTCTGACAATATAGTGCTTCAACTTTAATGTGATCTAAACCTTGAGATGTTACAAGGCGATCACCCAGTCCTATTCAAATCTTCAATTATGTTCCGATAGATTAGCGCTCCATTGGCACGAAACCTTCAAGGTTGAATTCTGGAAGTCCGACCTGTCTCGGCTCCCTGGCGTAGGGCTCATCGTGGTGGCTAAGATCACCAAGACCGTGCTCAACGCCTGCATCGTATAACTCAAAAAAATGAGGACTTTCAGGTGAACCTAGGTTAATCTTCAGACTGTGCTGGGGGCAACTGCCTCCTTAACGATGGTAAATATGGAACTCGAACGATACAAGTCATGGTTCATCAAAATAGATCCAACTGACCTACTCCTCTTGCCGACCTGTATTTGCCAAAAAAGTCTACAAATCAACTCTACCCTTCTAATCAGCATATTATTCTGTCAAGTTCACCACACCACTAAAACCCTGATCAAATCCCAGCAAGGAACGAGCCGTGCCGGGGTCGTTTAGCCTGCAAGTCGAGCAAGATGTGAAATCTCGAAGATGTACACCATCTCAGCTCTTTTCAACGCAATGTCTCTCTATGTTATCGCACATTTTGAGATATATAAGAATTGATGCAACCAGGTCACCATTATTTTCTTCATTAGCCATTTAGACAACATTGCCCACATTCAACGTGCCTGGCTGGCAGGGTTAGGAGATGTTCTGCGGTTTACTTCAACCAAGAAGAACCAATGCAGGAGTAAAACAAATTAAACTGCAGCTGCAACTTGGTAACCAAATTTTCTCACAACGTACCAGGAAACACCTGCTGGCGTCAGACGTGCGAGAATTCTATAACAGAACACTGGGCACTTGTTAGAGTCGATTTGATTTATGAAATGTCAAGAGGAGAATGACCCACTGTAAGAAGATGATTAATATCAGCAACGCACTGAGCGGTGTTTGATGACAAGTTCTTCACATAAATGTGGCTTTCCACATTCTTTCACATACGACAGTCACTATTCTTCGCACGACGCAAAATCTCAAAGTGCAAATCCTGAGTTTTAAAGCTTCTGTAACTCTGCAATATCTCGGTGCATCACACAAAGTGGACAAAGAGTTCAAGGAAGTCCACACAGCATTGCCCTGACTTACATTATCATTAGCAAATGAGCAAAATCATAGCGAAAGTCGTTACAAAACTTCAGCTAAATTCACTTGGCAACCTCGATAACTTCACTTGACAACTTCAAGTGCGTGTTCACCCAGTTTACTAGGCCTTGAGAGAACAGAAGAGAGACCTCAAGATCTTACCAAGGATTTAGGTCAATTAATAATTTGAGTTTCTACATGATATCTCATATGTGTGACGGGGTTGTATCTTGTTTTTATTAAAAATTCAGGTTAACTAATAAGTTGAGTTTATTTCTTGTGTGTTTTGGTTGTTTCTTTTAGTGGGGGATTAGTTTCAATCTAAAATTTTTATAGCTTGTGCTTTCACCTTGTTTGCTATTATTTGTTTTTACGTTGTTTTTTCTTTTTGTGTTTGTTGAATATGGAATGTATTTTGAAGACGAGCCATTAACTAGAGTTGCAGAATTGGATTGTGGGCATACTTTTTACAACAACTTTGTCATGTATCACAATTATTAGGTGAAAGAGTATATTAAGATCAATAATCTAGAAAGACTCTATTGAAAATATTGTTGAAAATTTCTTATGAAATCATAGGTAAAAAATATAAAGGTAGTAGAAACTTTATTGTATGTTGTCTTTTTTAATTAAAGAAAATTCTACTTATTTTGTAAGACCATTTATAAATCAAAAATAGGTAGTTTAGCAAAAATAACATTATAAGCATCTTAAGGTAAAAATGAAGAGTAGTTTCTAATACAAAATCAATTAAGGAATCCTTAGTTCATTATCCAAAGAAGATTGGTTGTAAACAAGGGTCAATACCACACTTATGATAAAGGGATGGTTCTTTCTTTGATTTGAAAATAGAATTAGAAAGAAAATTAAAAAAAGTTTCTATGAGCATTAATTGACAGGGTTACGAGTTTGCAATAACTTTGTAAGAACTATGCTAAGTTTGGATTAGATTTTGACAATTTAAGTTTTTTAGAAATAAAGTATATTTTTTATTTTAAAGAATTTTGCTAGTTTTGTTACAAATCTTTAGATGGAATTTTATAGATTTGTAAGGATAATTAAAATGAATATGTTTTGTAAATTTAGATTTAATTTGGTATTGAAATTTTAAATTTATTGGAATTCAAATGAATTAAGGCATCTAAAATTGGTGATTTAAGAGCCAAAAATGATTCCTAAGATTTGAAATAATGTGCTAGTTAGATTGATGTGCAAATTAATAAAATATTAATAAATATAAATACTAATATATATGCAAAATTTAAGAAAAAGTTGAAGTTTCAAAAGAAACATATTGGAGATAGAAGATCATTATTAAGAGTGAAGAAGTGAAGTTGTCTAACTTCTAAGTAGAATATTTGACTTATCTCTTTATTGATAAGTATAATACTTCTTTAATATCTTGTATGTGTTATTAACTAAGAGGTTGATTTTTTCTTAAAGTCTTTGGTAAAATCAACAATTAATTAGAAATTCACAATATTTCAATTTGTTGTTGAATTTATTTAGGCTAAATTAGGATTGTTAAGATTTTATTAAGATTAGATTTAGATTACATTAAAATTAATTAGAGTTTATTTAGATTTTGATTATGGTTTGATTATGATTTGGTTAAAAAGTGGTTAGGATTTGATTAGGTTTAGATAGGATTTTTATAATTTAATTAGGTTTTTTTAAGAATTGATATCTTTATATTAAGATTTTTATTAGGATTTTTTAGGATTATTTATGATTTCATTTAAGACTATTTAATATTTGATTAAGGTTGGTAGTGGCTTAAAGAATGTTGGTTGAGCCTATATCCTTGAGTTTGAAATTCGCTCAATTGCCTTAGAAATAAACAAAAGGCATATATATATATATATATATATATATATGATTTAAAAAATTATTTAAATAAGGCCATCTAGAAATATTGATAGATTGATTAATTAATAAGAATTGATTGACTTAAAGATTTTAAAAAAAGTTACAATTGCTAAAACATGTATTTTTAAGCATTCCATACATTTATTTTAATTACAAGAACTTCAAGATAAATTTAAATCCTTCTATAGTTAGTTGCCTAGTACATTTCTAAGCTAAATTTATATTATAATTATACAATATAATTATATAACAATAGATTTTAGAGATAATACTTCATTATCAAAATGAAGGATGGTCAAAGATAACAAGATCAAGAAGGAAGTGTTGAGATACTTAAAGAAAGTAGGATACAACTTGTACAAGATTTTATTTGTATCAATCTTAGGATTTGAAGGTGATAATATGATTGAGAGCTTGACAAACTTCAAATGGTACATGAGTCCAACTTTGGACAACATGAAAATTAAAGAGACTATTTCACAAGCCTTTGAGGCTATTGCCAATGAGTCAAGTAGAAAAAAGAATCATCAAGCCAAATATTTTGGTGTACTTTGCATCCATTGGATTAATACCACAGATAAAGTTACAAAATATGCACCATAAGTTCATGCTTGAGGCATATTGGAGTGAAAACATTGGATTCAATGCAAATAATATGTCAATGAAGAACTTGAAGAGAAAGTATGTTATCTTAGACTTAAAGATTGACTATGCAAAGGGAACAACTTAAGTTATTATAAATAATTATTGAAGAAAATCCAATAACAATTATGCCTTAGTGATAGATTACTATACTTCTTACATTATCGTGAACTTTTTTAAGATCTTAAAAAATGTGGAGAAACAATCAAATAAAGAGTTGCAAAATGTACTTTGACAATAGACTTGATGGTGCATGGCATTGATATATAATAAATAACTTTGGTAATTTTTGACCTATGAACCTACTAAAAAAATTATCTTCTTGGTTGAGGTGGGCAATTTGGACATAAAAGAGAGACAATGCAAAATAGAAAAATACCACCCAGTTGGAGAAGGAAGAAAGAAGATATCATGAAGAAATAGGAATTGACAAAGAATATGAAAAGAGAGGTTATTAAAGTATGATGAGATGAGAGAGTTTTTAATTATTTTTTTAATTAAAAAAATTGATATTTGATTGTTGCATTTTTTTTAAAAGTAATAACTAGTAAAGAAAAAGAAAGGAGAATCATGAAGACATTTGATGATTATTTAGAAGTAAAATTCAAGAATAATGATTTTTGTATAAATAGTTTTTAGTAATTTGTAAAAATATATATTTTGTTTGTTTATTTGTTTGTTTTGTTTTTGTTCTTTTAGAGAAGTAAAGTTTTTTTTTTACAAACTTGCAATACATGTAAATCTTAGGTAAAAATAAAATAATTGGACAAAAGCTTTGTTACATCTTAAATTTTTTAATGAAGTAAGATTTTTTAAAAATTAGATAAATCAATTTAGGTGTAAAAATAAAAAGTTTCTAATAGCCTCAAAGCATTTTATGATATCTAGACAATGATGAATATACAAAAGTGACAATTGGCAATTTCAACATAGATAGAAATATAGTCATTGAGTAGTAGAGACAAGTTTTTGGCTCTTATCTTATCTAGTGAGTACTTTGGAAAGTAGACTTTGTGAAAGGTGACAAACTTCATACACAAGGGTATCCTATTCATAATGAAGGCAAAGGAAATGGGTCTAGGTACAAAGATTGAGGAATTTGTAAGTTTACATGTGAAGGTGAGAGATACCGTGATGGTGATTTCAGGTTATAACTTAGCCTTCATCGTCCTCGAATCTGATAAAGTAAACAAACTATAACTTTAGTGCGAACAAGTTCGGACTGCGAGAGAACAAGAACCCAACTTAAGTCCAGAATCGAGAAAAACCACAGACCTCGGTGCCATAACCTCAGCCTACAAAGTTTCAAGAATTGGGTGTGTTGCAGAATCTGCACAAAAACCTAAAGACTTGTCTTATGAAAGGATTATGGAGTTATGCACATAGTTAAAGAAGAGACGCTCTCGAAGTTCAACAGTGACAACCGAGTAAAAAGATTGCTGAGGTTTCCTGCAATCGCTGTTAGCTGCAACCACATCTGTTATGGCGTCTCGGGCATGATCTATGAGGAGTCTCACAAACCTTCCGCCAGTTTCGACCGCTCAAGTTTACCTTCTTCTACATTGCCGATTCGCCAGGACTGAAAACTTTCAGAACCCAGTTCTTGACTCAAAGCGCATCTTCACTTTCAAGCGAATGTCGAAGGCGAAACTCCGCAATCCCACTGAACTCATCCAGCTTCAAATGCGAGGGTTCAACACAGTGATAGACGATAGTTTCAAGCAAAACGACGGGGTCAAACAGATGAAGACCAGTATATGTATCTTTGAATGCAGGAGTGAAGACGAGCACGTACCACAAACACCGACCTTGAACTCCTCTCCGAAGTTCACTGACTGGTTCGTTTCATTCTCCGCATGGCATCTCGGACCAGGACTTAATCTAGCTTGGGGAAATTTTGGCGTTCCCAATGTGCAATACCAACATCCCAGGACGTCATGAAATGTAGAATCTGATCACACATATTAGGGATCTCTTGGTTGTGTTAATCGAGATCGGGAGGTGGCTGGCGTGTTTGTTCCTGACTGTGCGTGCGAGTGTGTGTGATTGTGCAGCGGTTGATGAGCCAGAGCCACTGCATTGATGTTTTGTAGAGTGTTCGTTAGTTTGATGAGTGTGGAGTTCCGAACCCCGGATGCACCTTCACCTACAAGTTTTGCAGTAGTGTGGAAAATCATGACAACAAAAAGCACAATCTCAGGTTCATAAGAATCTCTGATATTCTTATTCTTCGGTTGCAGAGAATTGGAAACTTGATCATTGCTAGGAACATTTCTTGGAGTGATTTTTCTGAACCAGGCAAAACATGTGTTAGTTGATTGATAATCAAATCCACGACCCATTGAAGTCATCACCTACATCGTAACAACCCACTTGTAAATATCGAGAAACGAGTTATGAAGGCATTTGTAGGGTTCCACACATGAACCATTCCGCCATTCAGTGACGAATTGGAAACGCACAATACAAGTGAGTCAACATATTGAGTATCAAATCCGTCGTTCTCGACGGGATGTGGCCACGCAGCACACCCCACGACCAAGATTTCTGAGAAATTTCACTGTGCATTGAAGCTTACTGAAGTGATGAGAGTTGAGAGGACAAGGGGTTGAAAGTCACTCAGTAAAGCTTGTTCTTGGTGAACTGTCCAACTGTGCGGATCAAGAACAGAATGCTCAATTCTCAACTTAAAAACAAATTGAGTGACCTAAAACTAGATTTCGCACTGACAATGCAGCGTTCCAGTTGCCGATGGCATTACAGTTCCCAGCAGGCAGGGCCGCAGTTCCAGCTGGATCCATTGTGCGCATCTTCTGCTCACAGCTCCGCATCCACTGTTCACCAATGATCACGTCAACATCGATGAGGTGGGCGTTGCAGCATCCCACATAGCTCGGATGGGAGAGTTTTGTTTCCCTCGCTTGTGACTTTCTTCGCACCTCGGAACGCATGAGGCGAGAGATATGGTTTGACTCTCCGTGTGCGGAATCGGCTACGAAGGAAGGAAACGGAATTTTGCGCCATGGCTGGACTGAGCCGGACCATTTTTAGCTTCCCTGAGGATAGTTGCATCTTTGCGATTTTGCTCTTTGTTCCCTATCTGAGCCTCTGGGTAAATTTTTTGCTTCTTGTGCGATGAAAACCTTGGCTATCATTGTCTGTGTAGAAATGAGGGAGATAGTAGGCTTGATGAAGGTTTCCCAAGGGAGAGGAACGTTGTTAAGGCGCGAATAGAATACTCTTCCAAAGTTCGACGTTCATGTTGAGTGTCGAAGTGCTCTTCATCGGACTTACTCGAGTTAAAATAGTGGAGGCAAGCCAGGTTTTCGTGAGTTTGCAAGTGGTCAGCAGCTTATGCAGGATTCAGCCTAGAAAAAGTCTCGAGGAAGAGTATCGGCTAACGTGGACAATGTTGAATTGAAGGTTTTCGAGCGATCTGATTGTCAGCCATCAGAGACCAATCTGGAGCTCCGACTTTGAGGTGATCGAGGCTCGACCCATCACAGGAGTAGCTCTGTCACACTGCCCTTCGATTAGGTCAAAGAGACGGAAGTTTCTCTCTGGATGTTTGAATTTAGTGCATGAAAGACTTTGAGGGTCGGACTCGAATATTACACGGATTGGTCTTGAAGCACTATTCACAACTCTGGAAACTTGTTGAAGTGGTATACAATTCAGACGCACAGGCCGTTTCATCAAAACTCCGCAGTTTGATGGTTGACTGGTGGTGAAGAAGGTTACATGCGCGCAACTGGACTTGAGGTAACCGAGGACATAAATTAGGCACTTAGCTTCGTAATTAGAGCTAAGTGCATTAATGTTAACGAGAGCTTGCGATTATTCAAAGTGGAATGCGGGTATTAGGTGTATTAGGGGGGGGCGGAGGGGAATGTAAAAGAGCAGATTCAGAATGGGAAGGATGAAGGATGGCATTGAGACGGACAATGCCAGGCCGGCACTCTTCTCTGCGGTGCTGGAAAGGTTGGCAAAGGAAATGGAGCGAGTTGAGAAAGCCGCCAAAGGTGTAGAACAAGAAAGTTTCAGAATATTGTCCATGTACCTGAAGAGTATTCTCGTATTTTTGGAGGAATTGAGGCATAAGGAGGTGGCCGATCCTGTAGCGATGCACATTGCTTTGATGGAGTTGGAACAGGAACTGGAAAAAGCACATCATCTTATTAAGAAATACGGCTCCAAGAGTAAGTTCTACCTCGTGGTGAAATGTCAAGAGTGTCTGAAAGAGATGGAAGACATAGTTCATGCCATCGGTCATTGCTTAGACGCGATACCAGTGGTCAATGTGGGCTTGGCTGTGAAAACACAGGAAATGATAACGAAGCTGTCCAGTGATATGCGCACGGCCCAGTTCAAAGCTTCGATTTCTGAGGAGGCGATCCTTGTAGAAATTGCTGACGGCGTCCGCGACGGCCAGAACAACTATGAATATGCAAACGATCTACTTTTGCAATTAGGGCAAGCAGCTGGAGTCTCGACTGATCCAACATGTTTGAAGTCTGAGTTGGATAAACTAAAGAGAGACAAGGAAGATGCAGGAGCTCAGGGTAATCAGGAAGAGTTTTGGCTTCTTGAGCAAATTGTTGATATTCTTATTCGTACCGATGCAGCTACTTCTACAATCGAAAAGGGTGTGAATTACCAGAAGAAGCGTGGTTCAGGTAGGTGGGATGATCCCCTTCTACCTCTACAGTCCTTCTACTGCCCAATCACTCATGAAATTATGGAGGAGCCAGTCGAGATAGCATCAGGTCAAATCTTTGAAAGGTCTGCGATTGAGAAGTGGTTTTCTGCTGGAAATGCCAACTGTCCCACAACAAAGATTGAACTTGAAAATTTACAGATCAAGCTCAACCTTGCTTTGAAGCAATCTATACAGGAATGGAAGGAGAGGAACATAGTCATCAGTATCGCTGCCACAAAAACAAAACTACAAAGCAGTGATGAGAGTGAAATTTGTTCTTCATTGAGAACGTTGCTCGCACTTAGTGAAGAAAAAAGTATTCATCGGCATTGGATTTCTCTTGAGGGCCTCATTCCTTGTTTGGTCTCACTTCTTAAATCCCATCAAAGAACTGTCCGCAAAGGTACTCTTGAGGTGCTTCGCAGCCTTTCTGTTGACAACGCAGAGAACAAGGTATCTCGTGCAGAGCCCTGGATTATGTATTTATTGTTTTGTGGTTGCACTCATCGTGGATGAACTTACTGAATTCTGGCAACCTGTGTCTCGCCTTTGCATGTCGGTAGACCAACAATACAATCGTTTGTTAGCAATGCAGAAGCCCTATACCTAGTAATCTCTTTTGAAAAATTGTGTATTTTGTTAAGTTTAATGATGTGAAAAGAGTTCTTTGACACTGATTCTGTTGTGTTCAACCAGAAGCAAATTGCAGTAGCGGGTGCAATCAAGTTGGTGGTGAAATCGTTAGCGAGGGATGTGGGAGAAGGACGGCAAGCAGTGGCTCTCCTTCGAGAGCTCTCTAAAAATTCTGAAATCTGTGATGAGATTGGCAAAGTGCAAGGATGCATTTTACTGCTTGTCTTTATGTTGAATGCTGAGAATCCCCACTCTGTTGGTGATGCCAAGAAGCTTCTCCATGATCTTGCAGATAGCGATCAGAACATTGTTCAAATGGCTGAAGCAAACTATTTTGAGCCTCTCACCCAACGTTTGAATGAAGGTAAGAATTCAGGACTAGATTTTCTCATGGGCTTTTCCTTATCACATAACACTATCTCATAATGCCAGTTTCTCGTATCGCCCTATTTTCCTTTTGTCAGATACCAGGTGTTGGATTAAATGATTCATATAAGCAATGAGTGTACGGAAATGCAGGATATCTCGTTGATCATTTTAGAGTTTGTAGATCATATCATCCTACTAGCCTGTCAATTTCACTCTTCAAACAAACCTCATGACATCGTTTTTGCACTGTTGCTAGCAACGTAAGTCTCCCAAAATCAAAGACTCGTGATTGTTCTCCAGTTCACATGACCACATTGTGAAGTTTTCAGAGTCCCTCCGCAGTAAAGCTTTGTGTCTTGTAATGGCAAGCGCCTTGTCGCACATGGAGCTTACGGACCAAAGCAGAATAGCTCTTGCGCAGCAGGGGGGCATCCCCCCGCTGGTTGAGATGCTCTCAGTGGGAAAAATGGAAGCAAAAGTGGCAGGTCTGGGAGCCTTGAAGAATCTATCAACCCCGCCTGCCAACCGCGAAATCTTGCTTAAAACTGGAGTGATATCCCCTCTTCTGCAGCTCTTATTTTCCGAAACCTCCGTTACAGCAAGTTTGAAGGAAAGTGCAGCTGCCACACTTGCGAATCTAGCTATGGCAACAACAGCAGAGCTGGACATGTACGGTAGTATTCTTAATTCAAACGAAACACTCTTTCAGTTGTTGTCTGTGGTCAATCGTGCAGGGCCAGTCACCCAAGGACATCTACTCCGTGCGTTTCTAGGCATGTCCAGCATCCCGAACGCTACCGAGGTTCGAAACAAATTGCGAGAAGGGGGTGCCATCCAGCTCATTCTCCCTCTCTGCGAGTTTACTGCTGACAACGTTCGCCTCCACACCCTCCAGCTTTTGAAGTGTTTGACAAGTGAGGGCGCTGGTGACGACCTTGCAGACCACCTATGGTCAACATACATCAAGGCTCTGGTGAATTTACTACTGGACTCGAGTAAAGACGACGAAAGAATGGCAGCTGTAGGAATCATCTGCAATTTTCCAACCAACAACACCCACCTGACCGACCTCCTCCTGCAAGCTGACGCATTGCCGGCTATTTTGAACCTCCTCCTACCCACAAAAGGGACTAAGATGGGTTCTTGGGCTAACCGCTCCGCAATGACAGAAAGCGCCGCTGGTGTTCTCTTACGTTTCACTTCTCCGGTGAACAGCAATGCCATCTCACTTCAACAGAAAGCAGCCGATCTAGACGCAATTTCTTGCCTTGTGCAACTCTTGCAAACTGGCACCCCGGTGGTGAAGTGCAGAGCTGCAACCGCTCTGAGCCACTTCTCTCGAAACAGCGACAGACTGGCTTCAAAAGTCGTTGCCTCTCGATCATGCTGCTTGCGGCCATGGTTCAACAGTCACACGTCAACAAGGTGCAGCATCCACGAAGGTCTGTGCTCTGTGAAGACAAATTTCTGTCTGGTGATGGCAAATGCTGTAGGACCTCTAGTGCAAGCCCTGGAAGAGCAAGAGCAAGGAGCTGATGAGGCGGCTCTCAATGCCCTCAACACCCTCCTAGTCGATGACACCCACCTCGAGAGTGCAATCAAGGTGATTGCTGAAGCCCAAGGCATCCGCAACATTGTGAGGTTACTGACAGCGGGTAGCGTGGGTGCCAAGGAGAGAGCTGTGATGATGCTGGAAAAGATTTTTCGCATCGAGGAGTACAAAGTTGAGTTTGGGAGCACAGCTCAAATGCCGCTTATTGCCTTAACTCAGACAGGTTCCATAGCAACTCGGCCAGTTGCAGCCAAAGTTCTGGCCCACTTGAACATCCTCCACAACCAGTCATCATATTTCTAACAAGGTAAGTTGAGCTCGGGGTCTAGAGTTCGAAGAGGGGAAGCTAAAGTTACCCGACACTCTCTGCCTCCCATCTATTAATTCTTTCCACGTGTAATATCACGCACTCTGTAATGCTCATCATGAATTAAATAGTAATTGTTACCACGTTTTCCACTCGAAGTCCTCCGTAGCACCAAGTGGGTCTTCTTCCTTACTTGCTTCTCTGCTTATGCAACCCCCTTGTTCTTGTATCTTTGTTGCTACAAACTCTTGGAGTGGCGATGGAGTGCCTCATCGGGGCTTTCCTGCAGCTATTCATGAGAATGCAAACCAGTTCTCTGAAGACAAAACTTGGAAAACCCCATTGTGGTCCCAAGGCTGGCGTGAGATACAACACTGATATGTTCACATGCTGCCCATGTGGGTGAGCTCCTCCTGCTGTAGCTAAACTATCTTGTGTTCACAGTTTTGTTGCTAAAGCAGAAAATGTTTTGCTGCATGCAAGAATGTTGTGGAATTGAGATATTTAGGAGTGGAAAGATGTGATTTCTAGGATTTCGGGGATTTCTATCATTTTTTACGTGTTTAGATGTAACCAAGAATCCGTTCATGTCCTCCCAACGTTGCATCACAGCATGGGTCATTTCTAAATGTTTTATTTATTTTATTTTATTTTATTGATGTGTTCTTTTATTCCAGATGAGTGATGAAGAAGAGTCTGACTTGTTGGTATTTCAATTGCCTGTTTTAGAGCTTCAACTTGTCCTTTTTATCAGCTGTGCTTAATCTGTTGTCAATTTATTTAATATACGTGTTTGCTTGTTAATTTATTCTTCTTTTCCTATCTTTGTAACTTTCAAAAAACTGGTTTTTTATCATTATGAAAAAAAAATGTATGAAGAGCAATCTATATCTCCTATAATGGAGAAGCCATTCTTCTTTTAAATTTTAAAGTTTTCCTCTTTTTTAACTAAGTAATAATTTGGGCACAATTTATCTTATTTTATTTTATCTTTGAAAATATACTTAAAAAAGAAAATTTTCAAATCATAATAAAATTCTAGATAAATAAATAAATCGAGATTCATCTTTATATGTGAAAATTATTTTGAAAGTAAATAACATTAATTATTGTTTGTAACTTTTGTTTTAAATTGTGTATGTTATTTGTTAGAGGTGGTGTATTTTAATAGTTTTTGTTGTGATCTTTATTTTCGTACTTCTAAACATTAATTATGATTAATTTGTACTAATATTAAGTCAAATAAAGGTCTTAGAATAAATGCATTGTTTTAAAGAGATTTTATGCATTTTACCAATAGAAACCAAAATCTGTAATTGACTTCAATAATTAGGTAAGTTTGAGTCTTGACATCTTATAACAATAAGGAGTTTATATGATGCACAAGATATATTACATACAAATTATCCTTTATATTAATAGAATTTTGATTTTATTTCTTTTAATTCTTTATGATTAAATAATATTCTTGTATAGAATTTTGGTATCTACTTACTTTATTAAGTACTATTATTGTTCTTTTGATATCTTATTTTCTAAAAATAATCTTCAAGTTGATTTTAATTATATATATATATATATATATATATTTAAAATGCTTTTTATTATAAAGATGTTTTCAAATTGATTTTTTTTAAATATATGAAATTATTTGTTCCAACCAGATTTAATGTCTTTCTTATTTTTAATCATATTATTTTATTTTTTACATCTATTATTATAAGTAACTTTGCCTTTATTAGTAAAGATTTAGAAAGTTATTTTTGCTGTTGAAGACATAATAGCTTATGCTCGTATGATGTTTTATGGCTTTCTCATCTACAAAGAAGAATATTGCCATTCATGACAATGTGTTTGATTTTACCTTTTTCTTTCCCAAAGAATAATTTATTAAATCATGTTATTCTAAAAATAAATTTTAAATCAATCAAATAAATAAATTTAGTGGCAATATATTAATTAGTATTACTTTAATATTTTAATACAATTGTTAGGACAAGTAGAAGCTCTTGAATTAATGACCTTGAATTACAACCAAGATAGTATTGTAGATGTAACATAGTTACATTTTTTTTATTAATATTTTAATATAAAAAGGTTTAAATATAAAATTTACAACATATCTAATTATATGCAATCATATCTATTAATATATTTTTAAACATTAACATGCTTATCATTATACATATAATAATTGTTCAAATGATTATTTTTTTTTCAAACTTTCATATTCTATTATGATCAAAGTAATATAGAAATAAATAAATTGCTATAACATTATATATTTTTTTTACAAAAAATATGCTTTAAATAACATTCATTTTGGCTTAAAAAGTTCTAAGGAATAATTATTCATGTGTTTCTATTTTGAAACATAATTGAGAATTCATGAACTTCTACCAACAATTGTAATTGAAAACATTTATGCTATTTGAGCACATATAAATGTTGAGAGGGAAAGGAGTCAGAGATTTGTCCTTTGAAGATTAAAAGTTTAGAAGAGACTCAAATACACATGAACTATTTGTCACTCAATTTAATGGTTTTCCATCTTCAAGACAACAAAGAATGACAAACATGATTTTGATTGGAAACATAAACTTAAACAACCCAAACATCAATATATATATATATATATATATATATATCCATTGTCTTAAAATAATAATCACACAAATGTGGCCATATAATCTAAATATTCAACCAAAAGAGAAAAGAAAAAAAAAGAAAAAAAAAAAAAGAGGAATAAATCATAACTGTGAAGCACTTAAGGAGCCACACGAATTCTCATATCCACGCAAGCATCCAAGCAAGCGAGTCAGGATCGCCACGCGGGCACCATCCACGTAAGCGTCGAGGCGAATGCCAACTCAGTTCAATCCACGTCAGCGTTGCGAGAAGTGCCACGAGGGCATCGTCCACGTAAGCCATCCGGTCGGAACACGAATTAGGGCTCCGAGAGAGAGAGAGAGAGAGAGAGAGAGAGTGAGTGAGTGAGAGAGCGAGAGAGAGTCCGCACTCGTCCGCGGGTGGGAACGGGACCCACGGGAAAGTCTCGTTCGATCGGGAAACCCTACGCAGGGTTTAAGCGCAGCCTCCATGTGAGTGAGTTGAGGGCGAGAGAGACAGAGAGAGCGAGAGAGAGAGAGAGATTCGAGCTTACATTCGTGGAGCGATGGTGGCGTGTTGCTTCGGATTGTAAAATTGCACAACTCTTCCTCATGTAGAACCAACATCTCGCAGGGAATTTTAGGGGACAATGCCAGCTGAGGTCTGCTGGACGAAAGGAATTCTCTCAACTACTGCATGCATGTATGTAAAAGCTTCCTCTCCTGGGTTTGGAATTGTTTGCCTCTGAGTTGTTAGCCTGATGTGGAGGCTTTGAGGAGATAGGGAGGATTTTTGCGGGAATGCCATTGTCGGTAGGGTAGTTTGTTGTTGTCGTTGCAGTTATTTATTTATTTAGTTATTTATTGACTCGGGCGGGAAGAGGTGATATGGGGGGTTTTTTAGGGTTTTTTTTCTGGTTTTTTACTCTACGTGATGATGCAGTTTCCCAGAGCATGTCAAGCAAGTTTTGCTGACCGGTTATCCAGTCGCCGGCATGTGGAGGTCGGCAGCACAGCAGCTTGCAAGACAAAAGCTTCACGGTGTTAGAAGTGGGAGAATAGCTTCGAATTTCCCTCTTCTTCGGCAGGTTACAACGTCCCAGAGTACAGCGCATCAGGCCTCAGCTAGTGTACAATCATTAGATAGGGCGTCTGAATCAGATCGGAGTTCTGAATTTAAGTCGGGATTGCGATTCTTGAAGCCCTCCACCTCGTCCTCCCCTTCCTCCTTGACACCATTAGATTCCGCATTTATTGAACTTGTCGATCTTCTCCCCAAATGCTGGCAAAGTACCTCTACCACAGATTTCAACCATGATCACAGTAAGCTTCAGACTCCTTTGCAAGTATTCGATTCTCGAGCGTATTCAAGTGCACTTGAAGAAGATGAATTGTGTGATGAAGATATCATTGGCAAAGAAAATGAACATGCTCGGGAGGCTTTACCAAATGGTTCAAACTGGGATACTGGACTTGACGCTGATTCTCTTCTAGAGCAAAAGTCGAGGAAGAGAAAAGCCCGAGAATTACATAAAAGACAGGTGAAGATTGAGACCGAAGCTTGGCAACAGGCCGCCACCGAGTATAGGGAGTTGATGACCGAAATGTGTCGGAAGAGTCTTGCCCCAAATCTACCTTTCGCTCAATCGCTTCTCTTGAGTTGGTTTGAGCCTCTCAGGTTTGTAGACTTTACTAAGATCACCTTAATTTACGCAATCGATACCTCGTGCCTGAAAATGGGTTTGGTGAATGGACATATTTTGGAAAGTAATGTCGATGTAATTTGGCAGAGATGGCATACTTGAAGAACAGAGGGCTTATGGAAACCGCGAGCATAGAGAGCACAGGTCAATGTACGGTCCCTATATGTGTCAGTTACCTGCTGACATGCTAGCGGTGATTACGATGCATCGGTTGATGGGGCTGCTCATGTGTGACCAAGAACACGGATGCGTTAAAGTCATTCATGCTGCAGTTGTGATTGGCGAAGCTGTAGAGCAGGAGGTAACCCATACCAAATATCTATTGAAGAAATTATGCTTTCACAATGGCTTTACCGTCCTCGAAGTTTCCTGGCCTGATATAAAATTAGTATGAGCTTGCTGTGAGGTCGAAATTCTCTGGTCAAATCATCTCTAGCATTTTATTAATGCAGGGAAAACTCTATTTTTTAGTTTGAGCGAATACATTTCTAGCAAATGTAAGGTTAATGTTACGAGAACGCTGCTTCTCCTTTAATATTGATTACTATTTCTGGTATTATTCTGGTGGCTTTTCTTGAGAACATGGACCTGATTATGTTTTCTCTATTTGTCGCTTTTTGAGTCTCAAAATACTATGTTCTTAACTTTTACACAAGGTTCTGTTACCTTCTGAAGATTCATGGAAAATTCACTATTGATTTGTCTATTCCTTTTTTTGCTCGAGGATGTGGAATTCTGCCAAATGGCTTAAACAGCAGTTATTGAACACGTGCAGGTGCGAATATTCCAACTGATGAACTCACAGAAGAAATCAAAGGATGCTGAAGGCAACACGAATTCCCTTGGAGATGTAGCCAATAACGAGGAACTTGAAGCGACTAGAAAGGCCGACTTGAAGTCCAAGAAGGTGGTGAGGGACAAAGTGAAAAAGTTGGTGAAACAAAATAAATTGCGAAGGGTTGATAGTATTTTAAAACATGCAAGCACTGATGAACCCTGGAGCACAGTGATTCATGTCAAGGTGCGAAATTTTATGTAGACGTATGCATTGTGTAGTTGCTTGAGTTAGTTTTGTTTCTGCTTTTTCATTTTTGCGGAGGCTGGATGGACCTGGTAGGGTGTTGGGTTTTACGATTCTTACTAGTTGTGCTTCTCTGGTTTTGTATAGCTGGGAAGCCGTTTGCTAGAGTTGATGCTCGAAACCTCCTTCGTGCGTGCACCCGCGTGTCAAGATGGTGATGACTTTGGTGAGCTACGACCAGCATTTCAGCACAAGTTTAAAAATCACGTTCTGCGGCAAAAGTGAGATGCAGATTTTTGACACATTGTTTCACTATGTTTTGGTCATGTCTATGACCAAGCACTGAATATTTCCGTAGAAGCCTCCTCTCTATTAGTGATATTTGTTCTCTCGTAACGCATGCAGCATTTGGTCTTAATTCCTCGAGCCTTAATTTAATCACCGGTTTCAATCTTCCTTGGCAGCGTCAATCGAATCTACGGCGTTATTGAGTGCGATCAACTAGTACTTGCAGAGATTGATCAATCGGTAAAGCAATTAGAAAGTAGAACATTTTATTCATGTGACTGTAGGCATCCATCCTTCTATACATTCTTTTCTCTGGGGTGTTTTCATTCAAATTTTTGTTCACCGCGTCAGCTTAGGTTGTTGTCGAGTTATTTGCATTTGATATGCGTTTTTCTGTGTAGGTTGATTAAATGACTTTCTTATCGAAACAATTGCTTGTTTATAGGTCAAGCATATGGTAATGCCATACATGCCGATGCTGGTGAAGCCTCTCCCATGGAAGGGGTGGGTTTGATTTTCCCTCATGTCCTTGTGTTGATTTGATGTTGCACTTTAACTTTGATGTTAAATGTCAGATTCGTGATCACTCGAGAGGATAAAAGAGTCTTTCCGGGTATGTCCTTTTCCATGAAGCAGTTAGTTAGTGTATATGTGATTTGTTGCTTTGACAGGTTTAACGAAGGTGGATATTTATACTTGAAATCCTCCATCATGCGGACACAGGGTGCGAAAGAGCAGCGGATGGCTGTCATCGACACTCCTCGAAAACACATGAAGGTTGTAGTTGAGGTGAGTTTTCTCCTTTTCGACAACTCGATTCAAGTTGAAGACTTGTGCATAAGATTTAGACCGTGCTTCGAAATCGAATTTTTGGGTTTAAATTTCTTGTTTGTATGTGCAGGCTCTTAACGTGCTAGGAGAGACCGGATGGAGAGTCAATAAGAGAGTTTTGGAGGTCGTGGAAAAGTTATGGAAAGCTGGTGGAGGAATTGCTGATTTAGTTGAGGCTGATGATGTAAGCTTCTGTAGTTCTATTGATTCTGTTTGTTTTATCTGCGGCCAAAATAAAAGATCACAATTTTCTAATGTTTTACTTCGAGGACTTAACTTGCAAACGCTGAAGCTGTTTTGGGAGTTATGAATTCAGATGGTTTGGTAACTTCGCGAGGGAACGTAGTTGTCGAGAATTATTTTTTAATTGTTTGGGAAAGTAAAGGAGTTTCTGTAAGTCAAACTAGTCTCTTTTTGCCCAAGAGAAGGATATAACTGAGAAAAGTAGTTGTATGATTATGAGTGGAAAGGTCACGGATTTACTCGTATTTTTCTTTCTGTTTTTAGAATTAATGTACATAGGAGCTTCTAGGTCCGTAACCTTTTAAATATTGATCTTCGTTATTGACTTCGAAGATGTTGATTTTAACGTGTTCATGTAGGGATATCTGCCTAAATTTCCCTTTTCTAGGCAATTGTTCAGTTTGATAGTCATTTGTATTCGATGTGGTGTTGCACAAAAGTCCTTTACTTGCTAAGTTTTGTTGCTGTTCATCGCCTGGTTTCAATAATCACGTGTGTTTGTTAAGGTTCCGATTCCTGAGAGACCAGACACTTCAGATAAAGAGGTGTGGCACAAATGGAAGGTGGCAGTTTCTCAGGCCAAGCGTACTAATAGTGAGCGGCATTCTTTGCGTTGTGATACAGAATTGAAGCTTGGGGTATGTTTCATGCTCTTCCCATTAAGTCATTTGTGTTCGTTCCTGTCCTGTTTGTTGTTTCCGTATGAGTCTTGTATCTTCTGGCTCTTATATTGTCTTGTTATTCCTTACTGCATTGTCATTTTTTCCTTCTGCTTTCTCTTTTGTCCTAAGCATTGTCTTGGTAACAGGTAGCTAATAAACTCATTGATGAAGAAGCTTTCTACTATCCCCACAATCTTGACTTCAGGGGACGAGCGTACCCCATGCACCCACACTTGAATCACTTAGGAAATGACCTTTGTCGAGGTCTTTTGATTTTTGCTGATGGAAAGCCATTAGGACCAAGCGGTCTTCGATGGATCAAGATTCAGCTGGCAAACCTTTACGGAGGGTCTGTAGGGAAAATGTCATTTGATGACCGTGCTGCATTTGCTGAGGACCGCATGGAAGAAATATTAGATTCTGCTGAAAGACCCCTGGATGGAAGCAGGTTGTGGCTGAAGGCTGAGGATCCTTTCCAATTTCTTGCAGCTTGCATTGATTTAAGGGATGCATTGGCATCTGGCAATCCAGAAACCTTTGTTTCGCATCTGCCTGTGCATCAGGTACGCACAACTTTCTAGTTGCCAGTGAGAAACTGGTTGGGACTTTGTTGCCTTTTTACAAATATTAGTGTAAAGGATTATGTATTGAGTTCGAAGGAGCTACGACTCATTTGGAAGAGATTTTCTAAGTAGAGCTTCTCATGGAACAAATTACTTAAACCTGAAGCTTTGTTGACCGATGTTCTTTTTATAGGATGGCTCATGCAATGGCTTACAACATTATGCAGCATTAGGTCGAGATCGAGTAAGCTGTTCAATTATTTACCTTGAAATTTATATTCTGCTGCTGCCTATTTCTCAGTTGACGCGGACTTTCCAAATAATAAATCTTATTAATAATTTTTTAAAATCCCTACTATCAATCTAACGATGTAATACTGTCGAATTTAGATTGGGGCAGAGTCGGTGAATTTGATTGCTGGAGACAAGCCCGCTGATGTGTACTCCGGAATTGCTGAGAGGTACTTATCGTGTGCATGATAGTGACTATACATGAGTTTATTTGGTTATTTGAGGATGTAATAATTGTACTCCGAACGTTTATTTGTTTTAAACCAAGCTTTATATTTCTACAAATTAACAAATTTCGACATACAGCTTAGGGTGTTTTTATTTCTTTCTTTGTTAGTTCACTGAATATTTTTCTTTTCTTTTGTTATCTTCTTTTTTGGGGGAACAGAGTGAAAATCATTATGGAGAAGGATGCACTTAAAAATCCTCTCACAAGTCGCAACGCGGCAAGTGCAAGGCTTCTTCAAGGACAGGTCAATCCCTGCAATCCAATCCTCTATAACCTAACCAAGCATTTAGCATTTTCTAACAGTGGTAGGATTGATGCTAATACATTGTAGTAAACAAAACAATCAATCCCGAGTCCCCATCAGCTTCTGTAACGGATAATTGTCGTAGTATTCCATTGCTTATCGAAAGATTTTGATATATGGCGACGTGCGGCACATGTATGTCTATGAAGCTTAAATATAAACCCAGCTGCAGCAATGTTAATTTGAGTAGATGCAGTTGGTCTGCACATGAAAGCCAACCTCTGAGTAGATACTCATAGGTCCTCATCGGCTGAAGATCGTACGTCTTGATAGATTTTTTGGAGACTTCTTACTGATTGATTACACGAAGCCCCTTAAACTTGTTTATTGTTCTTGTTGGCAAGTCTAGAATAAGGATCAATTGAGTGAAGTACTCAGTGACCATCTGGTTGTTGCAATTTACTCTCTATGAACCACTTGGTGACCTCATGACAGCGTGGTCTGTGTAACCTCCGTTACCAACTGTTTCATCATGTCTGCTCCGTGTTTTGAGCTGACATCTCACTGACAAGTTTCAGAAGCTCACCCTCATTTGATGTTTCCTACAGATTGACCGCAAACTTGTGAAACAGACTGTGATGACATCTGTATATGGTGTTACATTCATAGGAGCTCGCATGCAAATATTGAATAGGCTGAAAGAAAGAAGTCCCATAGCTGTTGATCCAGTTGACACGTATCGAGCTGCTTGTTATGCCGCAAAGGTTTATTCTCTCTGCCTCGCAATAGCAGCGAATTATCAAGCATATTGAGTTATGTAATTGCTTCTTGACGTATTTTAGGAATTTTGTTGTAGCCCGCTTAAGTCTAACGTCCTTGTCAAAAAAAATCTTAACCGCAAAAGTATTAGTCGTTACTGCCAAACCTCTGTAGGATCCTGTATAGTTACTTGATACTTGGATGCCTTATATTGGTAGTTGTCTAGAAATAGTAGTGGCTTTTGGTTGACTTGCTTGGGCTGATGCCACGTGCAAAGAATCTATTTACTTGCTAGTTTGAGTTTTGCTTTCCGTCTCGACTTCACAGTATTTGTTTCACAGGTCACAGGTTACAACGAAGTGTCTTATATATGTGTGTGCTTGATCACAGGTTACATTAGATGCACTTGGAGAAATGTTCAAAGAGGCTCGATGCATTATGTCCTGGCTTGGTGATTGTGCCAAGGTGAGTGATTTTCTACTCTTCATGTGAAGACTGACTTTCGTGTCAGTAAATTATTACATTAGGTGGCAATCCACAATAACAGTGTTCTACCGAACTCATAATGTGTAGATGGTTATGTAACTGGTACATACAATTCGAGTCCCTACATCGGGTGTAGTGTGTTGCGTACCTCTGCTACTTACTGAATTTCATAATACTGCTCAGCAGTTAATGCTTGAGTTCATCTTTCAATGTTCATTTTGGCATACTTGTGGCAATTGAATCTGTTATTCGCACACATTCTCTCCAGATAATTGCAGCCGCTGGGCATACCGTGAGATGGACATCTCCGTTAGGCCTCCCAATAGTTCAGCCTTATCGGAAGCACAGCCGTCATTTGGTAATTGTTTTGCAGCTCTAGTATTTTTATTTTTACTTATTATTATTATTATTATTATTATTATTATTATTATTATGTATTACATTTCAAATATTTTTTTAAAGATTCATTTTTAATGAGTATTTATTTATTTTTAAAATGTTGGAGGAACTCTGTGATCATGAACTCGTTGTTTATGAGAAGCTTTGAAGTGATCACCATAGATCTGGTTGCTGCATGTTCAAATATCCGTATGCATGACATTGGAACACGTTGAATGTTTAGGGCATTAGTGATTTTATTGATTGTAGTAGTAGGCTCTGTTTGTAGGATTACATGACGATGAAAACTTTTATTCTTGGTTAAAGGATTGTGTCAGTGTAACCTTTTAGTTTATGAATGAACTTACCTTGAACATTCGTTTTGTCGCATCAGGTAAAAACCTCTCTTCAAGTTTTGGCTCTTAGAAATACAGATGATAATCACCCGGTAATTCCGACTTGTCCCCTCCATTTATTAACACTCTAGCCTTTATTTCCTCTATTCAGAATTAAATCTTGCATAGTATTTTTTTGGTTCTGTTCATTTATGTACTGTTGGCTAAGGTCTGTGCCATAAGTATGCATAACCTGGGTGCATTTTACATTTCATCAGGTTCTGGCATCAAGACAACGAAGTGCGTTTCCACCTAATTTTGTGCACTCTTTAGATAGCTCTCACATGATGATGACAGCCCTTGCTTGTAGTAAAGCGGGACTTACATTTGCAGGTGTGTTGTGGACGTGTGTTACGCACTTGTTAGGTTTCTTGAACTTAATTCTATTCAACCTAGCTGGCAACAACTTATAATTTGTTAAGTTGTTATTTTCTTTGTCCTGGAAATGTCTTAAAAATGATTCGACATAAAGATTGTGAAAAAAACATACTGTTCTCCAGGCGTGCACGATTCCTATTGGACTCATGCTGGAGATGTGGAGAATATGAACGTTATACTTCGCAAGAACTTTGTTAAACTTTACAAGCAACCTATTCTCGAAAACGTAAGTCTCATGCAACCCATCCCTCGTGAACTTTGTTCAGTAGTGAATTTTTGTGATAAAAGCTTTCTTCTTGGTTGTATTATTAGGAACTAACACCGTCAGTATGTTTCGTTACGGTATCTGTGTTGATATGAGCATTTGAATCTCAGATTTTATTGTTTAATGATAGCTGGTTTTGTTATAAGAGCCCCAGTCAATATCTTCGTTATGAAATTTCATTTGTGTATTCAGTTTCCTTGCCATCTTATATCAATCCAGTCCATGCTTTGCAGTTTTGTTAATGTTTTTAGGGCACTGAGTTAGCTGAATCGTGTCCATGTAGCTGATGTACTTACATACTTGAACGTTTGTGCAGTTGTTGCTGGACTTTCAGACGCAGTTCCCTGATTTAGTTTTCCCGGAAGTTCCAGCTCGAGGTGATCTTGATTTGAAAGAAGTTCTCAAATCTCCATATTTTTTCAACTAGAATTTCACCGGCAGTGTTTGCTTTTTCATAAAAGTTTCATGTTCTGTGGTCTCTGAGTTGTATGTTTTGTGAATTAAGATAGCTTCACTCGACTGTCAACATTTTCACCGATTTTAAATTCATGCGTCTTACGAGGAGTTGTTCATTCATGTGTGCAAGAGACAGAAAACATATCAGCTGTGGTACCAGAGTAAAACTTGCGTACGGTTGACTTCATGTGCTTGTGTTGATGGCAAACAATGAGAACCCGTGTTACTGATTTTGCACTTGAATTAGAAAAATCACATTTAAATGTTTTTCTAAGTCAAATAAAGTAGAATAAATGACATAGTTTGGAATAATTCTAAGGATGTGAATGCATCAAAAGATACTCTAATGACATTGAAGAGTTATTTGAAAATTTTCTGAAAAGTGGACGTGAACAAAAATGTTTCCTTAACTCCTACACAAGTAGTATAAAAAGGTTTATGTTTTGGTTTTTTCCACCTCAATGAACTTCATGAAGATGTATTTAGATGTTGAAATTCGTAGATGCCTTAGGTTTTATTATTGTTATTTATTTTTTATTCATGGGAGTGAAACAGACCAATTTTTTTAGAGAATTGCAAGGTAGACACCTTTGTATTGTGTGACTTCTTTTTATAAACACTGACATTTTTCTTTTATTGCATAGACATGTGCTTATTCTATGTCAACAATACACCATTGTTTCAAATTTTTCAACAAGCTAGATAGAAATGAAATTAAATGGCGTAAAAATAGTAACTAAAAACTATAATAATCATAAGAACATGAGCAACATAGGAGCTAAAATGAATAAACAAATATAAGGGGGTGTCCACATAGCAATTTTGTTAGATAGACACCCTCTTTTTATTGTTTGTTTAGTTTGCTTTGATAAGCTTCTATGTAAATGTTCTTGTATTACAAAATATTGTTGTTTATTATTGATGTTTTTGTATCTTTCAGCCACATTATTATCCAGCATATTGAAAAATTTCTAGTAGTGGTGTATTGTTGGTGAGGCATGTGAGGAGGTGTCCATCAAGCAGTTTCCAAAATTTATCATAATTTTTTTTCTAAGTCTTTTTCATATTACGTAATATTAGTATTTACACTTCTTTGCTATAATAGGACTATTTTAAAATAGTAATAAATAATTATAAAATGTGAAAAAGGAGACTAATTTGAATTTATATTCTACTATCTTGTCTTTTTTAAATAAAGTTCCCCTAAACAATGGAAGCTTTCCTCACCAAGTCTTGTCACTAATTAATTGTTAAAAGGAGTTGCATCAATTAGAAAGCAAACTAATGGCATGGATAAGATAGCAAATTTACAAGCATCCATGTATAGATCTTTTTTTGAAACAATATCTTAGTCTTGCTTCATCTTTTTTGCTTAAATATGTAGTTCTTAGTTTGTGGACAAATCTATTTGATTTTTTTATTAGATACAAGAATGAAGCATTTGAAATTTGGTGTAACATAAGATTGAATTAGGTTTCCTTTATTATAAAATTTTAAGATTTTGTAAGTAGTGAGTTATATTAAGAAGACTAACAAGCAAAATACAATATTAGACCTTACACCTACATATGATTAAATGCAAACTTGGTTTACCAACATTGATTTTTCTAAGCAAAGGAAACAAGTTAAGAATCATTCTACTAGAAGTGGTTCTAAGTAAAAAGAAATGATTACCACAAATTCTACGTAAACAAATCAAGATGGAGATGGAATCTAGGAAAACTAATTCACAAAACAAATGTTTGGAAGATTTTATATTTAGTAATCTAATGTTTCTGATTGGATTATATTAAAATGATCTCAGAAATAGGTCGAGGACACACACAAGAGAAACAATAATATAGCAACATATAAAACTAGAGATTGATTGAAATTGTGAATCTTTAAGAGAAATACGAGGAAGAATTCATTTAGTTTCTACATGAGATACGTATTGCTGTACTCCAAAACTTGTATACAACTCGTTATAAGAATTTATTTAGTATGAAAGTTGTAAAAATTGCTTGAAATTTTAATAAAGTGCTTAGATATAACAATTTACCATATCAACAATCGCATTTAGAAAAATTAGTTTAAGAAAAGATTTTTTAACATTTTATACTGTCTGCATATTCAGAGCTTTACATATTACTTGTCCTTCCCAAGCATTGTCTTCACGAGGTTTGAGAGTTTCATGAGAGTTTAGAAACGAGTTGTAAGTAAAGACTTTGGTGTGCAACAGAAATTTGGACTGAGATGTGCTTTTCCTCCATAAGAATTTTGTGGATGACACCTTCCTTGACTGGAATTTACCAGCTGAACACGATCGAAGCGGTTATTGACGATGCCGTAGCTTGTGACCTGTTGATGAGAAATATTACTGATATACCGGCGGAACAGTTAGGACAAAATCAGCAGAAGACGAGAAGAAAAATAGCTTAAGTACGGCGGGAGATGAGGGTAACTGGAAGATGCTGGAAGAGGAGAGGCGTCATCGCTAGGTGGACTTCAGTGAAACATCAGGACCAATGCGATGAAAGATAACGAGACCTGATTAATTGCGGAATGCACCTGCTTAAACTCCAAAATGATCCTACTAGTAAGAAAAATCATACCCAGTGGAGCGAAGAATTACAACCCAGCAAAAGCAATCAAGTCTATCACTCTGCTCCTGGAAAGAGGAGCCGACCTTCCAAGTAAAGGCTTACAGTAGCAAATTGCCGCATCGCAGAACACACTGATCTCTATTCCTGAAACCTTTACAACACATCCTAACGGCGTCCCATTGGCCTGCGTGGCGTGTCCTCCTCGTCAGACTCCACGTCTCCATAGCTCCACATGTTCAGCCGGTTCTTTTTTGCCTCCTTAAGGTACTCCTCGTACTCGGCGTGGATGTTTTTCTTCTCCGGTGTGTCCCACCTGTTGATCTTCTCCAGCTTTGCCAGCCCATTCTGTACATTTTCAGAGGAAAGCTTTTGGGTTAATACACATCCGGAAGACGACACATCACAACAGATTTAGATCATCATCAGAATGAAAAAACACAACACGTCACAAGCTGGCTAATACCAGGACTTACCTCAAGCATCAATGATTGGATTGTCTTGCTCGAAGCTGGGTCGATCAAAGTGACGATCAAGCAAGTTCCTGTTCCTTTTCCTCTCACCTTGCCACCAGTAGTATCCTTGTCCTCTACCTTCATAAGCAGAGACTTGTTAGCTACTAAGTCCGATAGGTACTCTGCTGCCTCCTCGCCAAAATCATCCTCCAACTCTGGGACCCTAATATGAGCCAGTCTGCATAGTTGCGCCAAGCCTTGAGCAGGTGATGATACAGAAGGGTCTAGTGGTCGCAGCCTAGAAAGTGGAATCGACTCCTGGTTTCCGTAGTCAATGTAGAACACTTCATACAATGACTTCGCTGTTATTGCAGTTCCTTGTCGAGGTGAATTTACAATCTGCACCAAATTCAATACGAGCTTGAGCAATGCACTTCTACGAACAGGCGTCACAGTATTGCGGCTAATACAAGGACTCAAACACACTCGCATCATACTTTCCGACTACACAATAACTAACCACTGACTTACCAACGCTCGGTTCCATGAGTTATCACTAGAAAACTGGGCGATCACCAGCTCGCCCTTCTGGGGAGTGAAAACGCCTGGTGGCGAGGCCTTGTCCTTCAGATTCAAGCCTTCAAGTGTTTTCTGGATCATAAGTACTTTGGCCTCCTCTGTTTGAACGTAAAATTTGCCCCCACCCAAAACATCAGCCACACAGACCTGCAGTAGACAAGTAGCACACATAACAGAAGTTATTCCTTGCTTAAATTCGCGAAGAACAAAACCATTCACAATAATGTGCCCTGAATTTGCTGTACAGCACAGAGATAAAGGTACGGATACTTTACCGGAACTGCTTTTGCCTCAGTGGCCTTCACTCCAGCAGCAGCAGCTCTGTTCGCCTCTTCTTGACCTTCCACAAAACCCTCCCATACCTTCAAGTTCTTACTCTTAGCACTCTCCTGAGCCCGAAGCAACAAGTGTCCTTCGACTGTCCTATCAGTGCTGAAACTTGGATGAAGCTTAGCCAAACCAGCCTCCAGCAACGCCACTGAAACGTTCTCTTTGCCTTCCCACAAGCTCCCCAAGAATGTACCAGTCTTATCCACCGTCTCAATCTCAATCTGCAGCAGACACATTCCCGCAACGAATCACTTAATCATTTTGGACTAATCCACAACTGCTCATCGTAACTTCCACCACATAAATTCTTCACTGCATTCAAGTCACAAGCCAGCAAACTGCTGTAAAACTCAATCCCACCTCCACATCCCTCTGAAGGATCCTTCTGCGCATGAAAGAGATAGCCTCCTCCGAGTACGGCTCCCCTCTGCCTGGGCAACGGACACCTGATAGGGAGAAAGCAATTGCACACGTTTCCTTCGGGATCAACAACTTAAACCGATGTCCACTCAGCACGTAATCCACGATTGCAGGAAGCCTCCTTTGCCGTTGCAAAAACGGCAGAAACGCAATAGCTTTCTTGGTGGTCCCCTGCATTCAAGCATACGAAATCAGTAGACAGGACAGGATGGTGCGTATATACACACCCTCCAGGTTATCTATTCTGTAACCTGAAGAAAGGCTCTTCAAATATCAGTAAAAAAGGGTGCTGGCTTTGAGAACAGAGCCATAAGCTGCTTATGCCATAAAAACGGTACCATTATTTATAACAGGGCTAATACAGGACACTTACCTGTAGAGAAAGGTCGTTAATGTGAGTCGCTGGTGAATCCTTCTGCGAATGAATCTTTTTCTTGCCCTTAACAGCCTTAGACTCGGCCGCCAAAAGAGCATCGTAGAAGTTCGACCGCTCTTCAAAATCTCTGTGTCGAACCACAGTGGCGAAACCCCGCACCACAAGCATTTCCGCAACGTTGGCACCTTGTGGCTGCCCAGAGACAGATGCAGGCGTCAAGTCAGCAACCTCGCCCTTGGGAGCCGACACCAGAAATACAGACCCGAAGTCCATGGTACGGTCGGAACCTGGCACGACAGGCATTGGTGTTGGACCATCTGTGGCCCCAAACTTCCGTGAGTACTCCATGGTAACATTCACCTGCAATGAACAAGCCCATCCTTCCATAAGTTTTCACCCTAAATCCACTTGACTACCAAGTCCACAAACTGCAGATTCATGGCATACATTTACAGCGCGCTCGCTAGACACTTCCTACCTGTTGTCCGATTAAGAGACCGCGGAGATACTCTTTTGCTTCACGGGCATAGGCCGCAGGTTTCTCATCCTTCTTCGGATTTCCGACCCGAGGTGCCCGGATGCTAGACAAGTTCACACGCCTCTCAGCTGCTGGGGTTCCATAGGGTGCAGCATCATCTGCGACCACGATGCAGTCTCCACTCACAACTTCAATCACCTTGCCGGAGAAATTTACATCAAGAATGGCTGTAGAATTCGTCGCAGGAGGCACGTATGTTGTCCAAATCTTCAGACGATCTTTCTTAGCTTGCAATTCGGCAGTCTTCAGACGTCTCTTGGCGACCTCTTCCATCATGTTAGCTGACCATTCAACCACTTTCGCAAACCCCTGTGAATATCGGAAATGCGCCAGGTCAATTGCTGTCAAAAGTAATATATGCAGAAGGCTAATTCAAGGGTCCGAGGCCCGCAAGTATCAGATCTATGTTTCAATACAACTTACATGCTTCACCAGCTCCAAGGACAGGTCCACAACGTTGTCTCCTTCCGAATAGTGAACGGAACCAATGAGATTGTTGAACTTGTCAGCCCCTTCTAGCACGATTCTCACCTAGACACCATCAATATCGCCAACATGTGAGTGCGTGGTATTCTTCCTGAATTACTACAAACGACAAGTACCAATACTTTTTTCGGCAATATGTCCCGACAGCCCACATAAATTACTACCAAATCACCTCACATCCTGGCCTGGCTGAAACCCACGAACCCCTCAACTAAATGTAAAGACGGGATCCTTTCTTAGCGTTTCAGGGAAATGCTTACATCTCTATTTAACACCCGCACTTCAGTGAAATGCTTAGCTTCTTTTGCGTAAGGGTCGGGAAGGATCTCAGCGTGAGAAGCAGCGCTGTTGGAAGCTGCAAGCCTCTGTGCAGTTGTCAAGGGTGCTGCAGGTTCCTCTCCTGCCTCTCCGGTTTTCGATTCCTCGCCCCTTGATTTGGCCTCTTCCTGGGCAAAAGTATCCGCCACAGGAGAACGCCTACCCATTGAAGGTGCCTGCAAGGCATATAGGGTTTAAAAAATACTGCAGAAAATGTTGCAAATGAACCTTACTCCATCTCTTCCAATTGGACCCGACACTCGAGCTCAATTAGGCGCTCGGACCTACCTTACCTATCGAAAGGAGGAAAAAAGACAACAAAACATCATCTGAAAACTGACGGGTCATACCTGAATCCCAGCACAGTAAACTTGCACGTATTGGAAGTCGGGAAGAAGGTACACCCTCACAGTGCTGCCATCTCTCACTGCTTCCACAATAGCTGGCAGAACCTTCCCCTTGCTAGACTCCACCAAACCGAGTGCATCAAATCCAGCGGAATCACCAATTGCAGATGGAGGCAACTCTCGAATTGAGGCTTCTGATGCACCCGGAGTCTGCCACAAGCAGGCGAATGTTTCAGAAATCAGACCATGCATATAATACCGACGGTGCAATTGAACAAATCAGTCTCATGGCTCTGCCAATTGAGAGTCAGGACTTTAAGAAATAGGTTTTTAAAAATCACCGAACGAATACACTACAAGTACACAGAATAAATTCACTCAAAGTAATTCTTGTCTTCGTGTAAAAAAATGATATACGCTAACCTTGGCCACGTTACCAATTGAAGTACATGAAAGACGGATTTGTCGATTCAAGCTATGATATGCCATGAAGCTATGACTAAATCCTTCAGTGCAGAAACTACCCGTGTACGAGTCGACAATCCACTAAGGAACCACTTACCTTGTTCCAAATGCCGAGGCCTTCAGTCTGGGCCTTCATTTCCCGCTCGTTCAATTCGGTCATGACTGCCGGAGGCACCTCACTGTTTTGACCTCCCTGCTGACGTACCTGCTTGATCCCAAACTATGGCATTAGAGGCAGCAGAAGCCTTGACCCTGACAACTTGGCCTCTGCCATACTGAGCACACTTACGCAGTGCCAAGTTAGCTCATGAAGATAGTAATTTTCAGTAACTGTGACAATATGAAATGGCCGTACCACGTTAAGTATTCACAATATACGGCAATCAACACTCGCCAAGGAAACATAAATTGCATTTTTTACTAGATCTGCAAATCACTCGTACTGAGCAACCGCTTGCCGCTACAACGGCTTTAATAGCACTGCATACCAGCAACAAACGCTCACCTTGGCCCAACCATTGGCGACGACCTCATATCCAACGTTCACTCCGCCCATAATGACTGTCCCAAACTCTCGATTAATCGAAGGCACAACGTAATCTACCTTGAAAGTGACCTCCTGTAGATGATCATGTCGTCATCGTTAGTCCATAGACCCCACGAAGGTAAGACGACATCTAGACAGACATAGTCGACAACATGATTCTGCGAACCGAACCACGCAATGTACGTATCTGAAGTATTATTCTTCGGAAAGACGATAGAATGAAGGATGTCCCTAATGTAGAACAGAATTACACCTTTTCTATCGAACAATCTATATGTGAAACCACCATCAGGAAAAAGATCTGGGCACAACCTTTCCAACGCACATCTTGCGAAGATACTCCCGACTGTCCCATGCGAAGGGCTCGTCCCTACCATCCCTACGGGCCTGCAAAAGCACCCAAAACAGAAGGAATCAACGTCCCTTTGCTCGTTACACAAGTAATAGCTCGCCTTCGAAGAATCATCTGAGTTCGTGAAGAAGTTTCATGTTCAGTACTACTCCATTCTCTCTGGCTCCCAAAAGACAGTCTATTAGGATCGTGGGAAAACCCATTTATACACTCCAAACTCCGCTTCGCATTTCTTGCTGTCAAAGTTAGCCATCCTGCAACCTGCCTTGACCAAGCATCCACCTTGAAAGTGGGACTTAAATAAAGGAAAGAACCCTATATCCTAGAAGTTATTACCGAGGTTACAATCACAAAATGCATACATCAAGTCTCAATTTTTGAAACTTCAGACGCCAGTTCCAATTCCCTTCCGCATAACTTAAAAATGTCGTAATGTGGAGATTCAAAACAACACTGAAACAAGGAGGCTATCGATCAGCTTTGAAACGAGTCAAGACGTAAAACCAACAAGGCCTAATCCCATTCCATAATGCCTTATCTGTTCACTAACGATTCGAAGGAACAGCCCAAAAGAAGAGTTAAGATTTACAAATCCACATTCAACACCGACACATTTAGTCCCAAGTGACGTCAAGAAGCAATCGACTTACCAACAGATCACCACTGATCAGATCCTAGAAATAGCACAACAGAGAACAGAGCAATACATAGACCTACTCGCAAATCTGGGCCAATAAGAAAAGTCCTCAAAACGATAACAACATCTTCAACCACTTCAACCTTGTCAAAAGTTTGGAGACGAGAAAAAATATCCGAGAGCGGCTACATGAGCGACAGCATGCCTGCCCCTAAGCTGAATAGGCTACAAGCTCACAATCCCCTCGCACGCTTCCACAAAGCAATCCATTACAGCCACCAAAGACGAACATGAAAAAATCCGCCAACATATGCACAACAGCAAGCAGCGCCACAACCGACTCGCAATCGATCTGAAGCAAAGATCAGTAACGACGAACTCACCAATTTGGGTGCAATGAGGCCGGCTAGAGTGACGGTCTTTTCCGGCGGCGGGCCACCCTTGACGCTTCCCATGATGAGCAGCGAATCCCCCGAAGGTACCGCCTTCACGGTGCCTTTGAGCCATCCGGTCGCCATGGCGAATCGCTTCCGCACACCTCACCGCAGACCTAATCGAAGCCCGTCAGCCCCTGTTTCTTCCTCCACGTCGTCGTCGTTGTCGTCGTCTGCTTCAATGTTCTCCAGGAGGCAGCCTCCACTTCAAACCTCCTGCGAAAACGCTTGCCTATCGACGAGACGCAAGGCCAGGGGATACAGATCAATGAGCAGCTGCAATACAGAAGAAAACACCCCCGATCTCGAGCTCTTTCTTCAACAAATAGATCGCTTGCATCGCTCATTGCTGGACTTTCTACGCGGAGGTGCGTCTCCGAAAGATGCAGAGCGATCTCCGTTTCCCCTTGTCCGAATGGACGGCCACGAATCCTCTGGACTTTGAATCCAACGACTATGGTGCATCCCAAGTTACTGTCCTGGAGGAATTTTCTTCAACGCGGTGGCGACTAACTCCAGATTTCATCCTTTGTGCCTTCGAGTAGCTGCCAGTGGGAACAGTTTGTCATCCTTTCCACGTGGCGGTTCGCTGTTGGGTCCCTGCTCCATTATGGCTGACCTGGCGGAAACGTGGGTCGTTCATGGGTCCTTGTTGGATCACTTTGTGCAGGAGTAGGTTGGGGGGGGGGTCGTAACTTCGCCCGTCAGCGCTGGAATTTGCTCACTCCCCCGTTGAAAGGCCCGGCTCCTCGGCTTCAGGCCCCTTTTCTTAAACCCCCCCCCCCCTTTGACCCCCTTGCGATCTACCGAGGCTAATTTAGTGTGACTTCACAATGACATGAGCTCTTTTTGGATATCTACTTAAACAATTGTTGGAGTGATATGTAAAAATAACTGTCGAATGAGTGAATCAATAAATTAATTAAATTAGATAATTATGTCAATTTTTCTTCCAATCAAAATAACTTTTGAAAATGATGTATCCAATAGAGAAAATGTAATAATGATAACAAATAAAAAAGGAAATAACTATTTTCTTGAACGTCAACTATTTATTAAATGAATGTAAAAAAAATTCATTCATGTGCTTGATGATATAGACCTTTTTGATTATAATGAATTCTGGTTAATTTTCTATATGGAGTTTGGAGACATCACTTGTAAAAACCATGCAATTCCATATTATTCTTCTATTCGAGAAAGACCTCTTGTAAATCAAAACTTCAACTAATAGAAAAATGGGCAGATCTAAAATTTTAACCAACAAGAGCACATGCAAATAATTTCATTTTTTTTATCCCATTTAACAACACATGGGCCAGGAACTTCAAGGTTTGTTTTGGTGTGAAAAAATATTAAAATAAATTATACAGTTTTGTGCTCTATGTACCATATATATGTAGGTGTATGTATGCACTAAGATATCTCTGTTGTGTTTGAAAACCACTCTCAAGATCTGGAGGTGAATTGTTGTCATAATTTCATGATGGAATATGATTTTTGTTACAGTGTAGGGTCATGGAGGTTGTGTATGTATAGTTGGCAATAAAAGCATGCTACAACTGACTACAATGTCACAGGTACCCATCATGTGCATTACTTTGAAATGCATCAAATGTATTGTTTCAACTTTTAAATTTATTAAATTGCCAAATTTTGATTCTTTAAAAGAAATTAAAGAATAATGGATAAAATATTTTTAAAAAAGTTATATATATATATATATATATATATATATATTTATACATGTAAACAGTGCTTTTTATGGTTTTGTCTTTTTCAGAAAATTGTATTACCATATTCTTGAATGAATATATTGCATTAAATTTAAATAGAACATAAAGGAGACTGAAGTAATTTATTTAGCCCCAATGCAATGTGATGTTTAATCTTTGCTTAACACATCTATTACAGTAAGTTTACTTGAAATAGGCTAGAGCGTTTCTGTCACCAGTGTTGCAAGGAAAAATAAATAAATAAATAATAATAATGCTGAATTTTATTAAATTTGACAAAGATAAAGTCAAAAAATGAATATTTTATGTATGGGGGGGGGTGGGTAGAAAAAATAACAAGGAATTACGAAGATGTGAATCTTTGACAACCTACCAAAAGATTTAATTCTTGATTGAAAAATGTTGTTAAAATGATATTAAAGCATTGATTCAAAAGAAGATGTATACACTAGTTATTCTCAAAAGAAATCAATAGAGCTACCTAAGTTCGACAATAATAGATAAATTCTTCATTATGTGTAATAATTCATCTGAAGTAGAATAAATATTGTTCACATGAAAGAAGGGTGATGGTATTTGATTTAAAGTTGATTATCATTTACTTTTTTTTTATTATTATTTTGTTGTTATTTTCCTATACAGAAGATGATTTTTTTTTTTTTTTTTTTTTTTTTTCTTTTCTTTTCTTTTACAGTAGCAAATTACAACTAGAAGGGGGGGGGAGTCCATAGATTGAATTTAATCGTTAATTTGATTAATGAGTTAATTATTATCAATTTATTGAAATTGATTACAATAGAATTATTGACGAGCAGTACCTGAATTGGAGTCGCATATTTCCAATTGATTTCAAATTTTTATTTGTTTAGAATGTGATTTAATTTAATTTTTTTCAAAAACTATAATTTTTTATTAGTATTATTTATTTTATAGTAGGAATATAAACATGTTTAATGTGCAAGAGACTAAGGCATGTAGCTTTATCATCCATCCTAAATTTATCGTCGCACAATTTCAGTTTCACTGGATGAGGATGAAGATCGGTGATGAAGTTCGATTCATCGCCTTCACCTTCTGTTCATCCACTTCGGTAACCTAGAAAGCAGCTGTGCCTTCGACGTGCATTGACTCATCGCCACATGAGTTTTGTTCTTCGTTGAAGCTTCATGCGATGGAGTCTCTGCCGCAAGGAGTAGCTGAAAGATGGCTCCACACACCACAGTAAGTCGCGTGCAGGCATCACCTCGACGAAGAGAAGCGCAGAAGAATGTCAATTAGTCTCGGGCGTGTTCGTTACGATCCTCCGAAACTTTTGTCTGCTAAGTCTTGTCTCAACTTTTTTTGTGACTGAAACAGCGGGACGCCGTGGCATTAATGCTGCCTCGAGCGGTGACGACGTTATTTGATGAAGCAATTAACATATGCTTGTGATTTTTAGGGCCGTGGATCTCGGGAGACAGGAGACCGAGACCACCGGGAGTTGTCTACTTGTAGCAGAATTCAAAACTTTCTGCAGCTGCTGCTGCTGACTTTGAGTTTGAAGAGCTGCATTGTTGATTTCTCCTGTTTCTGGATCATGGATGGCATTGCCTCATCGGTCTTTGTGTGGTAAAGCTACTCTTGTTGCCTTTGATCTTTGACGGAAAACTTGACAACGAATGTCGTAACGTTTGAGACAGTGTAATGTTCTCTGTACGCTTTCATAAGGTCAATTTTTTTACAATATAGTTTTATTGCAGCTATTTTTTTTTTTTTCATCTGCTGTGTATCGCGTCTTGACTGTTGCTATTTCTTTGTTTCTTTGTTTTTTTTTACTAGACGATGTGTGAAATAATTGTGGGGATGTCTTCATAGAAGAGCATCAGGGATACGGAAGATTGCCAAATTTCGACTTCTTCCTATTGCCTCTTAAAAGAAATGAGTACCATGTGCAGATGGCTGCTGCTGCGCAGAAACTGCAGATGCTACCATCAAAACAGCATCAAGAGCATTATTAGAAGTTTGACGAGATCCAGAAAATCGGTCCCCCTGCTCTTTCACGGTGCTTACCACCGCACTCTCAAAACTAAGCAGCTTTCTTTGCTGTATCACGTTTGAAGCTTCATCCGAGGTCTCCTCGCATAAGTTGTCAACTAAAAAGTAATCATTTTGGCTTAATTGTAGGATTTGGCATTACTGATGCTATCTAGCTGTGCGGCAGAAAGAAAGCAGTATATGTAATTGAAGTTTTGTTCTTGTTTCCCTAGAACAACTGAAGCATATGCATTGATTAAGTGTTTCGATGGTCTGATGTAGTTTCTTCAATCTGGCAGGTGTTGCGAGTTCGGAGTATCAGTCTTATGATCACAATGTTTGGTTTGGGATCTCTTTTTCCTGATGGTTTCTCTGCTTTGGAACAGACTGATTTGTACACATGAGTATCTGGGCAGGATAATTCTCAACCACATACTTCTCCGGTATACTTCTCCAGTAGGAAGAAGTAGGAATTGTAATTTACGAGCTTGTAATAATTATTTCACTTCGGTTCCACTTCAATGAAGAATCGGATATAGTGAACATCTTTACCACACTCGGCTAACACAACTTGGCATTGCCAACCGCAGTTCTGTTCAAATTTATTTCCTGATTTCTGTAGGTTAGAACTGTAACGGTACTGCAGTGGAGAAAAGTCCTCCAAGGTGTCAGTTCTAAGACCAGCCCCAACCCTGCTTTGGAAATGGTGCAGTACCTGCAGATGCGGTGAGTGACAGCCAAACTAGGATAGGGCACATCAACCCTGCCGCCACCCCTCTAGTCATTTAGAAGGCCACTTCATTCAAAGCTTACAGCTCGGTAGTTCGATTTTTCCAATCCAATATTCCAATATCCATGGATTGGATCTTTGATATGGTGTTTGATGGCAAAAACACAATCTCAACATTTAAAACCTCTAAATCACTAGTAATATGCAATGGTGTATTATGTAAAGGAGTAGAATCTAGCAATTTTCCTATTTGACTTGATTGTTGGCCTTCTTAAGTCACTCTTGGAAGAATACGTTCATCATCAAATCTTATTTTTTTACCAATACCAAAAACCAAGATCTTCATCTAATTTCTTCTTAAATGTGCAAAGCTCTGATTGTATGCTTAAGAAAAAATGACAAAAAAATAATGTGATCTATCTATATTGGTGGTGAATATAATTATAATTTGACTTTTGTCTTTCTTGCATCCTTCAATTTGCTTTTGTCCAATTGTCTTATTTGGGGCCATTAAATAAAATACCCCCTATCTTGTCTATGTTTTATGTATTTAAAAAAAAAATTAAGTGAGTTTTTCTTGAATAATAGACAATGCTTCTTTAATAATATGCATATTGGCTAAATTGCTCTTACCATGGAACTTAAATAATTTGAAGTGGTGTCAACTTTTGAACTTGTTTATCCATCCATTGGAAAAGGTTGGAGGTTTGGCCATGCTTATAAGATTTGTAAGCTTTTACTTTCTTTCTTCTTGATCAAGTTTGTTATAATTGCTATATGGTGTGATTGACATTAAAGGATTCATTTTTCTAAAGCGTTGTCTAACTCAAGATGCTTTGTGGTGAATGTATGTTGCATGAAAAAGCAATTTTAGTACAAAAAATGCATTCAAGTATCTTGTCTTAAAATCAACAAAGGTTGTAAAGGCCAAAAAGCATACTATGACATCAAGACTAAAAGGATTTAGGTTGTTATATTTCTTTTTCTTTTTTAGAATGATGCTGATGGTGCCTTGAGTTGGATGCTCTTCCAAGCCAAACTTTACTTCAATCTAATGTGTAAGGTTGCTTTAACTCATGTGAGAAGACTTTGTATGCTTTTGGTATATTTTGAGTCTCTCTTGGTTGGTAAGATTAGAGAAGTGCTTTGTATTTTGCATGTTGGTATTGTGTGCTCTGTAAATTGTATGGCAAATATGATCTTGTTGTAGAAGTAGACTGAGTTGAATTGCAATTGTGCAATGGGCAAGTGATTGGGTGCCAAGCCCTTATGCCACTTGTGACATGGTGCAACCAACCAATCAGATGGTTGTTTTCTAATATATGATAAATTATCATCTATAAGAGACTCTCTTATATCCAATATAGTCATTTAATTGATAGCTTTCTTGTCCACAAATGACTAATTCCAACTCTTTGTTTGAGAAAGTAACCACAATTAATATTTTTGTAAAACAAAAGTTGTTATAAATTGCAAAATATAAGTATATAATAAATACTAAGCTCTTTAATCTTTCACATATATTCTATTATATTGTGTAAAAGTTGGTAGTGTGAGGATAAATCTTTACCTCCCTTCGGAAACATCTTAAGAAACATTGTGTGAGCATGCATCTGCCCACCGATGATGGTCGGTTGATCGAACAAAAGATTGGTAAGCGGTATATGTATACATATAGTTTCTCTTTTAAATAAATCTATCGGCTGAGTTCCAAATCTTGTTAAAAAAATTCAAATTTAAAAGTCATTTATCTAAATATCACAGAATTTATGGTGCAAATGACAGTAGCCCAGTAATCAAAGTCCAATTGCCATTCAACCACTCAATTTATCACACCACAAAACAACCTGTTACTTAGCAACAAACACATCACAGTCCAACATTACACTAATAAACTATAAACTTGTAATGTAAAATCAGCCATCTACACATCCAACACCCACTATCAAAACTAAAGGAAGAAATCTACCGACAACGTCAGACCACCGACGTTCATATCGATGAGGTCCGTTAGCTGATTCTAGCTGATTGTGATTACAACTTGTGTGCACACCTTGCTGTTTACGGGATCCCAATGCTGATCTCCGATGATACTCTTATTGTCTCGGATGCATGAGAGCTAGAGATTTGCTGTGGATCCACGTTCAGCTTTAGTGCCGTTCCACCGCAATTGGTGTGCCTGCGAAGATTGAACCTCTTTGCAGTCTATTGGTTGCTACGATTCATGGTTTTCGATGTAGGTTTCAGACTGTCCTGTGTGAGCACTTACTGCACACGTAAGTTGAGCAAGGCGGATTCGGCCACTGTTACGGTCCCTGAGTTTGGAGATCCGTGGCATGCACCAGCTGTTGGTTCAAAGCGCACTTCGGCTCCAGCAAGCCGACTTCGCTTAGTTCAGATCCAGCGAAACCTGCATTGCCTGTGGGGTGCAATGACTTTTATATATATAAAATCAAACCAGCATCTATAAAGTTTCTAAGAAGCTTTTCTATAAGTTATTATAAAATTAATTTATTTTTATTTACTTCTACCTATTCATATTACCTAAATAATAATTATAATAAATATATATTTTTTGACACAGATGAATGATGAAATCTAGTGATATTGAAAACCATGGTGGCTTCAAGATTGGTAGTGGTTGTAGAAGTCCATAAAGGTGATGTTCAAAATTCTTGAATCTTGAACAAATGTCACATGAGAGGAGAAAGTCTTTTACAGTCTTTTTCCTCTAAATTGTATAGTAAATTACAATATCATTTATTTCATATATATATATAAGACATAAAATCTAGTTGTCTTTGCTAAATTCATTACAAGGACTATTTTTTTCAATAGTCAAGTTCCATGTGGCATTTTTTGTAAGCTATTGGGACTTCTTTTTTTGTAAGTTGTCTCTACTTTCATTGACATACTACAATCAAAGCATCTCTTTATGGTAATATTGCTTTAATTATGTATATTTGAGATATTTAGCACATTTATTGTTTATTTTTCTATAATAATAAAAGTTAAAATCTAGCTCTTACATATAGTCAAGTTTTGTTATTTAAGATAAAAAAAATACAATTGATTGCAACCTTGATTGTAAGCAAATAGTGATAACACAAACTCTATCAATCGCATTAGAATTAACTTATATAAAAATCTAATTATATGAATTGTAGCTTCTATAATACTAATAAGGATTCAAACTTCAAACACTATTCTTATTACGCCTAAGGAAAAGAATGGTCACAATAGTAGAAAATCAATGCCAAAGTTTTCTTAATTCTAATTTGATGAGCTTATAAAGGTCCTATTGCCACATTAAGTCCTTGTTTATCAACTCCAAAGCCTTGCCTATGACCAAAATTCCTCTATAATAGCTTATTGTAAGTATAAGACTTGCTTTCATAATATTTGGAAAGACTTTGCAATTGTTGTTCAAAGTCACAGTTTATATTAGTCACTTAGAATTTATACAATACAATTAGAACTAGCACTCTAAACTAGTTTGTACAATTGGTGTCACATCTACAATTCAAAATTTGATAATGCTTGGCTTATTCAATATACTAAGTATTTGTAAAATTTTGTGTTAATCTAATAGTGCAATTAAGAGATATCGAGGATTTGATATAAGAGAGTGTTAGAAGTGGACAATTTGGAGTCAAGTATGGTTTCTATGATGTCTAAAGATTTAGTAGTTAGATCAAGGTGAAATTTTGCATAGTGTTAGAAGACTTCAAGATCAAGTTATATAATGATTTTAAATTAAAGTTAATGGTTGAAGAAGGAGAAATAGCTACTGGAACATGTATATTGACTTTCAAGTTGGCAGTCAAGCCACATCAATGCAGTTTTTTGGACTTTTTTCACAATTTGTAATTTGGATTGAGCTGAATTTTTCTAATCATATAGAAGACTTATAGTGGAATTTTTATACAAAATTCTGTATCAAGTAGACAATCAAATTAGGTGTTATAGCTCACCAAAGCTTATTGGTTAGGATTAGGGCTTGCAAAGAGAAATCAAAATTACCTAATTATAAAAGTAATGATGCAATTGGAATTTATGTATAGTTGAAATTACTAAAAAGATTATTTTTAAGTACTTTGTATTGATTTTAAGGGCTTTTGAATTGAAATTTGAATTATATTCTTCTTATGTAGATGAAACCTTTTAGGATTTTTTGAATATTTGTAAAATAAAACTTCACCTTCCACAACCAAGTACTTGGTACATTTCCAAGGAATACAACTCATATTACAACATACTATAAAAAATAAAAAAATAAAAAAATAAAAAACCAAGAACTAATAAATGGCCAATATCCACTCTATGATTTACTAAGATCTATTCAATATCAAATACAAAGAAGAAAATAAAATAAAATAAAATAAAATTTGATAGAATCTAAAGTAGCTTAGACTTGTATTAGTAGGGATGCAACTATAAATTAGGATTTTAATTCTATTAATGCATTTTAATTGGTGGATTGATTAAAAACATATTTTAAAATAATTTAATTATAGTAATATTAAGATTAAAAATTCTTTTTTATTATTTAAGTATTTATAAGAATTTTAAATCATTTAAAAATTATAAAAGTCTTATTAAAAAAAAAGTAATAAAAATAAAGTCTTGATAAGTCTTGAAAGCTATTATCTTAGTTAATTTAATATTTTTATTTATTTTTAAATATTAAAGATTAATTATTAAAACCAATGTCTTTATCAGTCTCCTATTTACATGTATTATTTATAAAAATCGTATCAATGAGTAGCTAATAGTTTAAAAAAACACAAAAAAGAACTTCATGTCATTTAAATTAATTATAAAAAATAGGATTTTTAATAGATTTAAATTTATTTTATTATTATAAAAATTACTAAGGTAGAAAAATATAATCTTAAATAGATATCAGTATTATAAAAATATTATAAGATTATTTAAGTTTTATTTAGGATGTTTTATAAATGTGATGGATGCGATCGTGAGGGGGGGTGGTTGGGTTGATCGATTGGCTATCAGTCGTCACAGTGCACAGTCTCCGCATGGTTGGGTTATGGTACCATTGCTCCGATCACAGGGATGCGGTGGGCGTGAGATCTGCCACGCCGGCACGGCACGGATCAGCCACACACCCTGTGCACAACGCATTCTACCCGTTTGGATTGTGGAACTGATGAAGCAAAAGGCCTGTGGGGAGGTTGATTACTCTTTGGAAATGAGGTAAGTGCAACAAAAAATAGTGTTACAGAGATGTGTAAGTATATATGTGTGTGTGTATATATATATATATATATATATATATATGTGTGTGTGTGTATATATATATATATATATATATGTGTGTGTGTGTGTGTATCTATATATATATATATATATAGAAACTATTTCAACTTGTTTGAGCGAAAATTGTAGTGTGTCAATTTTACATCACCTGATCTGATCTCACTTTTTAGAAACTCCATTCGATACATATTATTTCAATTACCAAGGTAGTTCTAAAATGTCACAAGTTGTGCTCATAGTATCACTATTTTGTTCGACCAATGTTTGTATCCGTGTAACACATTTGCAATTAAAAAAATGTTTAATGTCACAAATTTCTTCATGCCGAAATAAAACAAAAACAAAAAGAAGTGATTCTCGATACAAATGGAAGACAGATTTTGAAGAAAATCATAAACCCAGATTCAAATTACTCTCTGAAATCCAACAACCTGATTTGTGCGCATAGGATGAAGAGCTTCGTGTGTGAGGCAGTTGCAGATATTTTCGTATTATTAAAGCAGTATACACCATGTCCTCCTGCTTCATGGTTTAGAAACCTTCCGATGAGATTGGCCGATACTTGGTGAGTATCTTAGAGCATCGATATGTGCAAGAAGGTTCTGAGGCGTGGTCATCACCTTCATATTATGTACACAAAGACTGATATGTTGTTGTACCTGCAACAGTAATTGGCTCCATTTCGGAATCATGGGATGTGGCATTGCTTGGGCTCAAGCCCTGCTTGTGCAGACTTGCAGCTGCATCATCTTCCCCATTCACGACTAATGAGCTGTCTGGAATCGTCAGCCATCTTCCCCACTGAACTCAATCGCAAGGCAGGAGAAACTAGGAGCCGGATGAGATGGTAGCGTTCGGCAGGCGGCCGAGTTCGAGGCTAGACTGCGTTGCCGTCGCGTTCCTCGCGGCTATTGCAGGGATGGTGGTGCTCTCTGAGCTGCTTCGGCAGATGCCTGATGATGGCACAGGCTCTCCTCTTCAACCCTCTTCCCTCGCGAGCCTCCGTTTCCTGCAACTGGTGGAACTAGATTCAGGCTGCGGCGACTGCATTTCTAATCCGTTCCGCTCTTCTGGTCAGTTCGCAGGTAATTAATGTATACATATTTGCACTTATCTCCCCCTTTCTGTCCCTCTCTCGTGAAGGGTGTTGTAGTAGCCTGGACAACCTCCAGTGTATGACCTTGATCGAAGCTCCACAGCCAAGAAGACGAGATTGAGTCGGTTTGTGTGTGTTAGATAATGGTTGCTGCTACGCCGTGAATGTTGTTCAGAGTGGTGGTTGTGGTGCCGTAGATCACATCATCGGCAACCATGACACGAGGTCGACAGATTTGAAGACAGGCTTCTTGAATTACATGTGAATCTTGTTGCCTTCCCGATCTACGGTTGAGCTCGCCAGTGTTTAGTTGTTCATGGAAATTTTGGTTGCTTGCATGCTTTAATTTACGCTTGTTCTTCAAGGAAATGGTGAAAATTTGATGATTCAAAGAAAAACTTTAAATTTTGAATTAATTTTGACTCAAGCTCATTCTGGCTTCCACAAGGATTCATAAAGGGTTCATGTTTCTTAATTTGTTTATTTTGTGAGGTGAAATAAAACCTCTCGTTTTATTAAAAAAAAACAAAGAAAAGAAAAAAAGGACAGATTGCTTATCAAGTTGGAAGTGGGTGAAGAAGTTTATATTGGTTGAGAAACTTATTCTTGCTTCAATCCATCTCATAATTTGTAACCTCCTTCACAAGTGTAAATACAGATAGATTTAATTTGTCACGTCATACGAAGGAAATGATGAATGGTGGGATTCCGTGCGTGGCGCAAGTTGAGAGGAATAATCTAAAATAGAGAGAATGGAAGGCTCCCACCCACATGGTAGCACTGATCGGATGTTTGCTTTGCAGGGTCGGGGGACTGTCGGTGCAAGAAGCAGAAGAAGCAGAAGCTCGATTGGCGATGGGATCCTTCCGCAGCCCCAACGTCTAGACTTCTCGGTGGCTCCGGACGTATGATCAATTCCAAAATCCACTTCACCCCATCAGCTCAGCGGAACCAGCCGTTTTTGCGACGCACCCCGGGGATCGACTACAGTAAGACCGAGAACTCCACCCACTACCTCTGGGATACTCCCGATCCAGCGCCCTACCCTCAAGAGGCCCCCGAGCCCTCTCTGAGCCTCCCGCCCATGTTCTCCGATGATTACTCGCATCTCGACTTTCGGAGCGGCTTCATCCCGCAGCAACCTGAATACACCACAGAGCCGCCCCTCTCCTATTCCGATTGGGTCCAGCCTCCAATCGCATGACACACAACTGCATTGGAATCTTCTTCGTTTGGTGCGTTTGTGCTGATTTTGCTTCGAAGGAACCCTCCATCTCGGTATCAGAATCTCGGGTTTGCAAAGTCTCGACACATTCTAGGAATCGACATCAACACCGACATCGCAGTATCGACATATTCTAGACACCGACACTGAAGTATCAATATATTCTGGACACCGACTTCACCTAAGTGTTGACATGTTCCAGACACCCACACCGATGTATTGACATATTCTTGACACCGACATCGAAGTTGTCAATGCTATAAGGAAGATTTTTGCTCTGTTCAAGATGAAACAGTATTTGACTTGAGACTGATGTTGTTGTTAAAATCAGGATATTATTGTTTTGTTTTTTCAAAGTTTTTATGAATAAACATGAAGTAAGAATGAACATTGTTATAGAGCGTTGAATACTTTGGTGAATTGCAACCACATCATTAAATATGAGATTGTTTATTGTAATGTTTATCGTAAAAATAACAAAATCTTAAGTTAACAACTATTCTAAACATATATGATTCCATATCCTTGCATTTCAAAAAATATTTTAATGATTGATCTGCGGAATTAATTATTATTTTTTTTGTTGATATTGTAACAGATTGTTGCTTTCTATACGAAAGACGTAACTAATTTCAATACACATATTTTGACATCAAACATACATACATTTGCTGCTGTGAGCGTGGTGTTAAGGGATTCCTAGAAAGATTGCATGGAAGATATGTGAATAACCCAGAAAACTTCTGGAGAAAAAAATTTAGACTTAAAATGACTGAAATAATCTCAACCTAAAACTGGTCATCAAAGTTACAATTCGCTGATGAATACGCTGCAGCTTGTGCCTAAACTAATTCGGCCTAGCTCATCAATGAGGTTGCCAAAAACTGCCCCTTCTACGGTAAGAGGTGAATCAATAACTCTAAGCATCGGCTAAGGTGTATAAAGCATTAGAGTTGGTATTTTGCAGCCGTGCAGAGGAATCAGCGCATTTATCCAGAAATATTAGTTTTGGTCTGTGAGGCCCAATGCCTCCTTTGCAAGCCATTCAGTATTATTTCCTCCAGCGAAGATGTACATTTCCAGTAGCTCACGTCGATCTTCAAGTGGTAAGTATGTCAGACCTCTAGCAACCATGTCCATCTCTGGCTGCAAGGGTTCCAACAAAATAGATAGGTTAGCTGTGCACTGTGGATCAAAATATGAAAAACTAAAATTCCTAAGACTATTTGTGAGTACTTCGCATGTCGTTGTCTGAAGCTGCTACGTTACAAAGTCGACATCCACATTTAACCGCGTTTACAATGACTTGCTGTTAAAGTGCTCAGAGCAAATGGGTACCGAACAATTAAATAAAACCCAACTGTGGGCATCATGAGCTCCAAATCGTAGAGCGGCTTGAATCGAACTTACACACTAATCCGCCATTGCTCGAATGAAATGATCAGTGAAATCTCAAGGCAACGTCGAAGGAACGTACAGAATTACGATTTGGGCTGAAGTTTTCATGAATTCGTATTAATCCTTGAAGCTCCTTGTGTGCAGATTCAATTTCGCCACGCTCATGTAATGCCTGTCCGCAAGCAAGGAACCGCTTAAAATACAAACCAAACAAGTGAAAAAAAAGCATATCACCAATCCACTTCCAGTGAAACTGTAGACAAACATGACATTTTTTCATCGAAAACATTGAACTTTGACGTCATCGAGCCAGCACCGAACAAAAAAGCAGGTCCAAGCTCATGAACAGATTATGCGGAGTCTCTTACCCATGTCTGTAAGAAAGTTGCTCGTGTTTGAGCTGCGACAGAAGCAATAACCATAATGGCTGCTTTTTTCACGTCTATTCCAATATTGCGAGCTAATCCTGCAGTAAAGTTGACCACGCCCTCATTTGGGAACTCGACGCCCCTGGTGATCATGGAGCAAAATTTTAGCTAGTGTCATCTCAAAGAAAATCAGAGCAGGTAATCAAGTCTTATACTTGACAACTACAATCAATGCGTTGAGGCCAAACCCATAAGGAAGCTAACAATAAAATCTAGTAACTGAATTACCACAACTTTGAAATAAGCAGCCAAATTCATCAGACCAGGTGTGTCAATATGCTAGAATATAGAGACTAGCAGCTCTTCTAAGAGTAGCAAAGCGAATTCAAGTGAAAATCAGGATTTTATGAAAACGTTGACGAAATATTGAATTAAGAGAAATGAATAAGATTATATTTCTAACTCGAAATACATTATAACCGTCATACTTGGTATTGAGTGTAAAGGACCATACCTTATACAAGCATTATGAACAAGTTGCAAGGCAGTTCGATAAAAGGCATCGCGTGTATTCGTTGTCCCAAACTTGACTTCAGCTCCATAGTTCCGACATAGTTCCCGTAACTGCAAAAGATGTTATGACAAGAATAATATAATTATTTTCGGCAGTATCGCAACTTCCTCGTCATAAATACGTTAAGTAAGATATCGAACCTTACAGTAAAAAAGAAAAAGAAGAAAAAAAGAAAAAGAGGCGACACATCAAAAGCTCACCTTGATTATGTTATGACTCTCAAAGTCTATCCCGTTCATTCTCCTCTCCAGCATATCTGAATCAACATGGTTAACGTTAGTCCACCATTCCAACTTGGCGCTCCACGCCTACGCGACCTCTCATAGATCAAAGCTGAGGATCCCCCTCTATATTGAAGGTGTGTCCATCTGAAGGGAGAGGATATGAAATAGTGCGTTGCAGAAAAAGAACAAACAACTGAAAATAACTAATTAAGTTAAAATATATTCTACTTAGCATTACTACCATTTCTACTCAACACAACCTGTACTGAACACGAAAAGCACTACCATGATGCAAATAATCTCAGCTTCAATCACACCAATTTAAATATAAACCCCAGTACATATTCTCCACATCCTTCGAACGCCTCATTACTCGCTTAACTAAAAATCTCATCCAATAAAAGTCGTACACTCTGTAACCGACTTGAACCAGGTTGCCATAGCTAAGTACCATTCAGGAGAGCATTGGCCTCTCTTTGTGCCTGAGCAGTTGTCTCCGAAGGCAACTTAGGTGCTTGCTCAGGACCAGGCCACCAAGCTGGTAATCGTGTCTCACTTTGAGATTTTTTGAACGTGAAAGGATCAGAACCCGCTTTTAACCGATTAAGCTCCTTTTCAGAACGAGCATCAGTCTTTACATAATCCAAAGGACTTAGTCCTTGAACTGAATTACGAGCAGACCACTTGAAAGGTCCTCCTTCCCAGAGCTTAATTCCATTCTTCACGACAACCTCCCTTCCACCCAAACTCCGATCTCTTACAGTCCTAGGCCGGTTGAAACTATCAGCCCAACCCCAATGGAATCGTCTAGCCCATGCAAGAAATACTCTAGAAAATACAATCATCAGCACAGTCCATAAAACAGTCCGACCAGCGAAGTCAATGGTCGACTGCTTCACTGCAATCACCACGCGTTTGTCGTTTCGAACAGCCACACTGGTGCGAAGCTCATTCCACGCCTGTTTCCCCTCTTTAATAAAAGTCACACCTGACTGGACAGAGCGATCAAACTCAGACTCTTCTCATAGCAGCGGTTGAATGTTAAAAAATAACTCTCATGTAATCGCCGAAATCAGAGTAATCATGTCCTCAGTGCAAAACTTGTTAGACAACCCTCACTCAGGAAATGCCTGCTAGTTACCCAGTTTTCTACTGACAACTCAGCTGGGAATATCCTCTTCACCATAACGAAGAGATTAGCAATCAACAATTCTAACAATTCTAACAATTCAACAATAAAAATAAAAATAAAAATGAATACAACATGTACTATTGGGGACAATGGCGCAGCAAGCATGGTATTGATTGTGAACTCACTCGAGACGCCTCATTTACCCTGAAATCCGCTGCCAAAGCACATATAGGAAAAACAAAACAAAGTTTCGTAAAAATTAAAAATTAAAAAAAAGTCGAATCCCAGGTTGAAGCGAGCTACCTGTCTCACATTACCGGCAGATGACACGAGCGCCTTCTTGGTCGACGATGCCGCATCTGCTGCTCTCTGCTTCAATTCAGCAAAATCAAGTGTAATTTCTACCTTCTCGTCACCACGCTGTTTCCTACCCGAATCCACTGGAAGCTCCCGCCTTCTATGATGTCTTCTTCCCCCTTGACAACGCACCGGAATTGGCAAGGGGGCAGAGGAAGAGGAAGGGAAGGAAGCAATCCTAAAACTTACCAACTCGCTCAACACTCCAAAACCTTCACCAGAAGGAAACGCGGTGCCCATCCCATGACACCCACTGCCAACATCACCGCGTCTCAGAACGCAACCCCTACCACGCACCCCTAACTGAGCGTGGACAACTCGATGCTCTCCCCACAAACCCCGCGCAACAGCCGAATTCAACCCATGGAGCATCATGTCCCCCTAAAACCCACAACCCACAGCACAATCCCGAAAATCCCCAGCTCCCGAAATACAAAAAAAGAAAAAAACTGGGTTCCTCTCTCCCACCATAAACGAGCAATTGAGGAAATGGGTTGGGAGAATAGTCACAAAGCAGAGCGGCGTATCCTCCCCCACACACAGACAAACCCCAATTGAAGAGATAGGGTATTGGAAATGGCTCAACGAGGGTGAAGCAGCGCACTGGGAGAGTCAGGCTCCCGGCTCATCAGCGGCAGTAGGAGTTGAGATTGAGACTGAGGTAGAGAGTGAACTGGGTGTGCTGCAGATTGTGAGCATGCTCGGCATCCCTGCAACGACGCCAGTGAGAGTCTGTGTGCGTCGCATCGCTGCAACTGCTTCTGCGACGACGACAACGACGAGGAGCGAGAGCTTCTCCTCCTCCGTTTAGGGTCCACAACTGCTGCGACCCCATCCGGAGACGAGTTGGAGGAAACGGTTATTGCCCACAAGGGTGAGCGAAAGAAAGCAAAAAATTATTAGTTCGTTACCCTCCCATTCGATCCCATGTATGTGTACACGTGTAAAAAGTGAGTAATTACCAAGTCTTTCTTTTTCATATTAAATCTCTCTCTCTAGCAATAAATGGTTTTTAGGTGTGTGATTTGTAATATTGTTTGTTTTGATGTTGTTGTTTTGATTGGACACAAGATGGTGTTTGTTGGCATTGATTTTAGATACGATTGATGGTTGTGTTGTTGTAGACATATGATGTGATTGAAGATAGAAATTGATCTTTGAGTAACTTGATTAAAGCGAGAGTATTTTGCAAGCTTGTTTTGGTTTTGTGGTTGATATGTAGAAGTTAATATATTTATTGAATAGAATGGTATTTTTGTTCCACAATTGCAAAGAAATTAAAGTTTTGTTGTCTTTAAATTAAAGGAATCTCTAGGTAGACATCTCTTTTTTATTGTGTGCACAACCTCCATACTACACATCCTCACATTTACACTGTAAAATTCTTATTTATATTAAAAAATTTGGATAAATTTATTATATTTTTTTTATAAATAAATTCAATAAGTTTTTTATAAAAAAAATTAAAGAATTACATGTAATGTATTATGTTTTTTTAAATATAAATAAATAACACAAATAATAAAAATAAAAATAAAATATTAAAAGCCATTGTACACAAATCTTTTACTATAAATTTATTATAAAGCTTATTAGTGTTAATAAGATTTTTCTTGTATATATGTATAAGTGCATTGTTGTGATGTACGTTGCTTAGTAATTAAAACTTAAGTAATTATGTATATTTACTATTAATTTAAGCTTGTAGTTGAATTGCTATTAATATGATGTTTATATAGTTGTTGTTGTTGCTAGTTGAGAATTAGATCAATTTGTCATTAGATTCCAAAAAACATTGCATATCTCTTACTATTTTTAGAATCTTTCAATCTATCATAGTTTAAACTTTCTTAGGATTCATAATAAGCAAATTATTTAAACTACTTAACAAGAAGCTCTTACAATTGTGTATGCTTCGAAGAAATATATGCAATATTTGCTTGTCAATATGCCTGTTTTTTATGTTGATTATATGACATTAGTTTATGTGGTCGATAAACTCCAAGTATTTGATTAGATTGTTAGATGGTTACTATTGTTCAAAAAATATGACTTTACAGTTATTTACAAACCAAAGACGAGTTATGGAATGACAAATGCACTATCCAGATTGCCAAATGATGAGCCAACAATGGTATGGAGGACTAGACCAAGAATATTAGTCTATTCTACATTCAACTTGATTAGCTAGTTGATGTTATTAATTACCTCAAGATATCTGTTACTTAGTTCAATGTGATCAAAGAAGAAAAAATGAAGCTGATCTTGAAGTTGTTTCCATATACGATGATCAATGGAGTGTTGCATAAGAAGGGCCATAATTTAGTGCTAATATATGTATTAGACTTGATTTTTGTAAAAAAAGTAATAATAGAGATGCATAATGGTGTGATTTGTGGTCATTTTATACAAGATATCACTACCAAAGATATTAGATGCAAGATACTAGTAGTCTACTCTACATAAGGATGTATTAAAATACTACTTGGCTTATGATTATTGCTAGAGATTTGGAAGCATGGCTAATATTAGCTTGGTCTAATTAGTGATCAATATGCCAATTGAACCATTTATAAAGTAGGACTTAGGTTTCATTGGTCCAATTAAATTAATGGCTTTAAGAAATAATATTCATTACTTATTGGTGGCAACAGACTATATAACTAAGTAGGTGGAGGCCTAGGTCTTAAAGATCAACTCAACAATAATAATCGCTAAGTTTCTTCATGAGCATTTGCTTACTAGATATGGATGTTTTTTAACACTAATTAGTGACCAAGGTTCTTTAATTTTTTAAATGAAGCCATTGAGTACCTAGTTGATTATTTCTTGCTATAGTATTAGACATCTATATGAAAGTGTGTTTTTTCCATTCTTATAAAAGACAACAATAATCACATATCTTTTTATTTCTTTTAAAAAAAAATGTCTTGAATCTTATCCATAATTCTCTAGAATTATTAGCTATAACTGCCTAAAAAGCTGAAACAACCTAGATTTAAGTCTCCAATTCAAAGCTTTATTGGCCTATATACCTAGTCTGCTAATTATCCAATCAAGAGTCTACTACCTATTATTCCTAAGATAATGGATATATGGAATTAACAAAGAAGGTAATTGGCACGTTACTTAATAAATTACTTAATGATAAGAAGACTAACTAAGACAAAGCTTTATAAACAATGTTATTCTTGTATCAAACAACTTATAAGGTGACTACAAGTCATACTCTTTTTTAGTTGGTATGTAAGCTATATTTGTTGATGTCCATAGAATATATAGTTTTGACCATGTGGTATCATGTAATAACACAACTATATGGTAAAAAATAAAAACATGGATGTTGTTATAGAAGATTCTAGTAGAAAGATGTGATAGAAAAATAAGGATAAATGATAGGAAGGTAATAAAAAGTTTAGTCTTAATATTGCCTTTTAGAGAAGGGGCTCCAATTTCTTTATAGATGCATAAATACCTTAAATCAAAGTAAATGAGATAAGTAATTGATATAGACATATTTAGAAGGGAGTTATCAATAGTTTCAAGCAAAAATTACCTCAAATTACCAAATATTGATACCTGGAGAGGACTAGTTGTCAACCTGGGTTGAAATCAGATCCCAAGGCACAAAAATGCATACCTACAATGACTCTAGTGTTCTTTGGCAGATCAAAGAGTGGAATTTGGAAGCACATTAATAAACAAATTTATTTTTGAGCATTGGTTTTACATCAATTGAGTTAATATTCAATTTTTGGGAGATTTTCAAAATTAGTGATGTTCTTGGTTGGATTAGATTTAAAAAAAAAAAAAAAAAGTTTACAAAATTAAGTGTTTCTTAAATTTTGTGGTAAGTGTATGGATGAATTTTGAGCAATGTGTTAGTATTTAAGTTTTTAGTGTGTGAGAAGATTTTAAAGTCAATCGAATGGTTAGATCAAAGTGATTAAAGGTTTTTGTGGGTTGAGGTTTCAAAAATCAGAATTTGAGAGTTAGTGAGTATTTTTAAGATCGTTTGCAATCTATTGATTGGATTGAAGTGATTTTAAAAAAAATAAAAACTAGACCTGATTTTCCATAGCTTAAGTATATTTTGGAGGCAATTCAATGATTCAAGAAGGAGATATTTGCATTGGAAGTTCAACATTCAGATTAGTGTAGGAAGTTGGCCAATACTCGAGTAGATTTTAGGATTGATCTTCTATTCAGTAAGTTCGATCTTCTTCAAATTTTGTGTGCTTGTTGCCAACTTAGTTGATGAAAGGTGTGTAAAATCTTAAGCAAGATCAATAGTATAATTGATAGATATTGAGGTTCTAAACTACCCTAGGGTTAGGTTAATTTGATTAGAATTTGGTTTGGGATTTAAGAATTAGTTAGGATTTAGGATTTGTTAAGGATTTATTTAGGATTTGACTTAGGATTTAAGTAAAGACTATTAGGATTTTAACTAGGATTAAAGTAAGATTTGATTGAAATTTATTTAAGATATATTTTGGATTTTATTTTAATACTTTATTTGAATTTCTTTAGGATATCTTCATGCTTCTTTTATAATTTCTTTGAGGTTTCTTTGGATTGATTAAAACTTAGTTAGAATTTTTAAGATTTAATTGAAGTTATTTAGGATTCTTTTAGAATTAGAATCTTGTTGTTGCAATGCTCCTTCTATCTTCCATAACTAGGTGCTTAGTGCATTTTTAAAGAAGGCCTCACGTAATACAATAGCGGATAGAAAGAAAGATTGATAAAACTCCTACTTTAATGTTGATAGCCAAATGTTTTGATTTGGAGCAAATTGATAATATCCAAGATGATGTATAAGAAGTTGTAGGGATTAGATAATAAATCATGTGTATATGGAGCCAATAATATTATAAGCAAAATAATTTTTAAATTTGAAACTATGTTTTGTAATATCTAAGGATAATAAAGAAAATGTGGCTAAGTTCAAGAGCAAGTGATTTGGACCATATTGGATATAGTATTGTCCATCTAATAATACTATTTTTTAAGTGATATTGAATACTTTGAGTCTATTTTAGTGATTGTCAATATTAATAAGTTAAAACCATATAGGTTTTATGACAAGAACTAGCTTGTGATAGTTACACCTAAGTACTCAACTAAGGCATTGGTTGAAAAATATAAAAGAGAGAGTAGAAAGAAAGACCAAAAAGATCTTAAAAACTAGGTACAAGAACTCGAAGGTCAAGAGAGTGAAAATCAAAAAAAAGTTAGATGACAAAGAGAATATTAATTTGAAGAACTGAGACAAAAGTAGTCTAGAGGATTAAAAAAATACTAATTCAAAAGACCAAGACAATAATTATTCAAAAGACTAGGAAAATATCAATTTAAAAGACCAGTTAAAAAATTTCTTGATATTAGCATGTTATTTTAGAAAAAAATTAGTGATTAATTTTATCTAATGTCATCTTAATACAAGGTTTTTATTAGAATATTTTCGTCAAGTCTATTAAAATTTACTAGAATCTTTATGTACTTAATTATTATTGCAAAATTGTAGTAAGAAAAGAAAAAATTCACAAATCATCAAATGACTCTTTTTGGATCTACTCTATTTAAATGCTTTAGAAGACTAACTTGTTTATCCTTATAATCCAACTTACCATCAATTTCTAATTATTCCAACTTCTTATTATAATTATTAGTATAAAAGTTTTTTTTTTTTTTTTTTTTTTTTTTTTTTTTTTCCAAAAAAAAAAAAATGGGGAAAAAAAAAAAAATTTTTTTTTTAAAAAAAGCCCCAAAAAACTTTTTAAATTTCAAAAAATTCCAAATAAAAACCTAAAGTTTAAAAATTTGTTGGGAAGAAAATTGTACAAAAAAAA